GACTAGTGAACACACTCTGAAATCCTGCAGTTACAGTAAATGTATTTTATATATTCTTTTATACCCAAGCCACAGAAAATACTTGCTTGTAATTGGCTGGCAGGTGTTTTAAAACCGCACCATTTAATCATTAGATTAAAGGTACTTTAGTCAGCAGCTATATCTTTAATTAGCACTTTGTGCTCATACTGCAGATAAAAGCTCTCTATTCAAATACAGCTTAGTTGGATGAAATGTCCAAAAATGTTTTTACTGACTAAATCGCTTACTACAGTTACATGAGCACAAGCCCACACTATTTAGAAATGTACTCAGGTACTTCACCCTGTAGTACTACTACTTGATGGGCAATTACCAGAGTTCTATATTTAATTCTAAACTCCGGTGGTTGAGTCCAACATGGTAGTTAACGGACAGGAGTCAACGCTGGAGTAAAGTGCTCCCGTGCTTTGTCTTTGTTAGTTTGAACCAGCTGCTTAAGGTGAGCTGCAGCTCCTTGGCTGAGGCAAGCACATAGAGAATTACAGTAATCTAGGCATGAAGATACAAAAGCATAAATGACTTTCTCCTCACTTTAAAGGAATTATTTCTTAACAGAAAAAATTATGACTGACTGAATATATTTGTTACAGTAATACATGAGGGAACAAAGGGGCTAGTCTGCAGGGTCGGTCTTATGATTCTCACTGTTTTATTGCATTATTTTTGCCAAGCATGCTGTTTACTGTGGAAAAACTTATGGAAATCAAAGAGAGCAGAAGATTTCAGTGTTTAGCTAATAATATGGTATTCTGGGATTCACGATAGTTTCACCTTGAACAGTAGATTCATTGGTAACAACAGGCAGCACAGCAACAAACCCATCTTTGTATTCTCACCAGAGAGAATGTGACCAAATTTTACTCACAGCCTGATTTATATGAATCATTTAACAACAGGTGATGTGTAAAAAATAAAATTAAAAAAAAAAAAATGACAACACAATGAGGAGCACATTAATGCTATTACAAAAAGCCAGCATACACGAAGCATGAGACTTACCTTCATATTTCCTTTGCCACAGTGAGGTCTAGGACCATGTCTGCTACTAGAAGTTGCCCATGCCAGAAATGTTCAAATCAAGCTCTGAGCTTGAATCTTTGGGCAGAAACAAAATCAATTCAGGGTTATATCAATGTAATTTACAGACATGGTGCTTAGATTCAGTATAATCTACTCTGAGGTTCATGCTGAATGCAATACTCACACTTGCAGTTTTTATGATCAGGGAAATCTGCTGGTGCTTCTTGATCTCTGCAGAATTGATTTAGACTGTACTGTTAGCAGAGTGGATTAATCTGCAAAGCTAAAATCCCTTTCCTCTTTAAATCAGTATTCTCAAGGGTAATGTCTGTCAGTCATGTCTGCCTTTCACCTATTTCCAAATGCTAATGTAAATCAATGATCGTTTCATTTTTTGGAGGCAACAGAGCACAAAATAGGTGTTGAAAAGAAACAACTGGAACTAATTCCTTCTTTTCCTGTGACAAGCATGCTTTACATGACTTTGTACTATGACAAATGATATCAAATTGTTTTTCCATGTCATTAAAGCCAGGGTATGCAGATATTGCTTTATGGTCTGTGAAGCAATTCTGAGTATAGTATATCTCAGCGTTTGTGTGTACATGTTGGCAACACTTTCAATCAGTCATTAGTGGGCAGGCACATAATGTGCTTGTATAAAGAAAGATTAATTTGTAATTGGCTTCCAGGACTGTAAAGAAAAAATGGGGCACTCGCCATCGCCCTGAGACTTACCTGCAAAAATTTCAAAAACACTAAAGCCCGATGTAGGTGTGGCTCCTCATTTGGTCTCAGTTTTGCTATTTTTAGCTGTAATTTATTTGTTGTCAAAGATGTCACCACAAACAAGAAAACAAGATTCTCACATAATATGTCATTTTGATTCATTGTCAGTGAGATTTAAATTACTTCTGTCAAGGCTCTAAGCCAATTGAACTACATCTTTAATAATTAATCTCACCTACTCACACACACACACACACACACACGCCGGCACACATATTCACGCACCTTCAAGATGTTTCTATAGATTTTTTTTTTTTTTTTTTTTAAATGGATGGTTTTTTTCCTTGTGGTTGTTGAATGGTTGTTGAAGGTGCATGTAGGAGGAAATATCTGGAATGCTTTGTTCACAAAAAATAAACCGGCACAATGCTTGTGTACACACACACACACACACACACACACACACTGAGGCTGAGATGATTTATAGCCAGCCATGTCTAATGGATTGCTTTGGCACTTGAGAAATTATGAAAAGAAATTAATTAACCTATAGTGACCCTGCTGTCCATCTACCTTTCTTTCTCTCGCTCTCTTTCTCTCTCTCACTCTGACTCTCTCACACACACACACACACACACACACACACACACACACACACACATATTCACAAGTGACCCAGGCACCTGCTGCTCACTATCGATGTAAATACAGTGTAAATGGGCCATGCTTTATCTTCTTTGAATCACATGAAAATGCCCATTTCTGCCATGGCAACTGATTCATATTTACTCAGAGTAATATGTTACTTGGAAAAAGATAATAAATAAACAGATATTTTAAAAAATCAAGCACTAAAGATTATTGAGTGTCTTTACTAAAAGAAGTGATTCTGCTACTGAACCCTGCAAGCTTTGTGGTGTTCATCACCAAGAAACGAGTGAACACTAACATGAAAAAACAAAAACCGAGTGAACAGCAGCTTAGTTCCCCCTCAGTGAGGATCTTAGAGAGCAGTTGTTAGTTTCTCTCTTTTGGCTGAATACACTTGGAGAGCAGGAAACTTTGCTTAGCTGAGGGGTTACTGCTTCTCTCACTCTCTATCTGTCACACACATCTTTAACCAATATAGGATGTAAAAGGAAAATTCATTAGAAATACCCTTCTTGCTGCTGGGTCCTCGAATGAATCAAGATATTTCAACTGGTTTGACAAAATCAGCTAAAACAACATGTAGAATGTCTCCATTTTATACCAGAATAAACCAAAGGGCATCTTTAAATTGGATTGATGTTTTGCTTTGCATTTTTGGCAAAGGTGCAGCTGAGACATGAGTACTTGTTATAAATTATTTTGCATTTCCTGTCTCCTGAGCTCTGACAACCAGCTGCTATGAGACAGAGCAGAGTCCATGAGAGTCACACTGTGATTACAGTCCACTCCAAAATAAGTCTGCACTTCAGATCCACAGACCCTCACACAAGCACAAGGTCGAGTGGGTTTTTTTTTTTTTTTTTTTTTCACAAGCTTGTAATGTTAGAGTATATCTTTTGCATGTATTAAATTCTGACTGTGGCAAAGTATTCAGGTTTGTGTCATGCTGCTGTTCCTGACATAGGGGGGAAAAAAGTAATTCTTTGAGTTTTGCTGCATGACTACGACGACCACCTCCCTGAGTGACAGATAAGCAGATGGCAAGGACAGTGGGTGTGTTAGTTTCCCAAAATATGTTGAAGTGTCCTAAAAAAACACATTTTCTAATCAGTATTCTGTCTGAACATGGGCTGTTACTTGGTAATGAATTTATAGTAACAAGACACTCTAAAGTGTGTCAGACAGCTGTTGATGCAAATGACTTCTGTTTTAAATGATCTATAGCCTACAATGCATTGTTGTCTTTACATGAGCATAGTTGTTATTAATATTTTCATGTATGTGAGACACTTAAAGACAAACCCTCATTCGCCCAGACTTGTTTAGTGTCTTTCAGCTTCTTGTTATGTTTTCTGGACCATAGCTTTACTGTCTTCGTTAACTGTGATTAGATTTTGGCTGTAACATGCAGTTGGTTTTAAAGTGGAACATTTAGCAGCTAAGGAGCCAGATGTTTCCTTCAAACTAACTGCTTCGTATGGAGGGTCATCCAGTTACATCTAAAGGCAAAGCTGTTCTTAACCCTTTAGTATGACCACATTTGTAGGTGTACCTAAAACCTGGTGTGATGGAATGAACTGCACAAATACTTTATGTTGTGTTCACAACTTGTTTGTGGTGCCCCCAAGTGGTCAAAGAAGTCAGTTCTTGCAGATGTAAATCATACTGAGAAGACAAATATGCCATAAGTGATCATGTATGCAGAAATCTGCTTTTTTATCATACATTTGCTAACTTTTTCAAAGCACAAAAATTCTTATTTTGTTAGTAGAAGCTCTTGAATTGAATGAATTGAATTTAACTGAACTGCAAGACTGAGATACACATGGAGAGAGTGAGGTCATTTTAAACAAAGAGAAAGCATGACAGATAAATAAAAGAATGACAAAGACGGATAGAGACGGTAGGTCAGCAAGAGGCAGAGGACAGGTGATCAACATGGAGGGATTATTAGTGACTCTGTGTGGGGTTTAGTGAAGAATGTTGAGGTCCGACACACCAGAATGTGATCTCGCTCTGGCTTAGTGTCACCTCTCTCTTCCATTTCCTCTGGTTTGCTCCACAGGTACACACTAACTACCAGTCCATATAAGTTCACTCCTGTCACGACACTCACCTGCCTGTAATTCTCTCTCTCTCTCTCTCTCACACTCACACTCACACACACACACACACACACACACACACACACACATGCCTCACAGCTTGCCTCACCAGGCTCACACATTGAGGTGTTCAGTGGGTGGTTCAGCCGAAGCACGAGACAATTTTTATGGATTTTCCACCTTGCATGCTGCAGCAGAGCAAATCCAATGCCTTCACCTCTGCTGCAGCAGAGCAAATCCAATGCCTTTTTCCAGCTGGCTGGAGATCATGAACACTGTATTCTTTCCAGATGAAGTGATGGAACCACATAAGTTTGCTGGAGCACGTCCTTTTTACACTGGCACACCAGCCGAGTTTACTGATAGCTTAAGTAAAAGTTCATCATGTAGTTCTGACAGATATTTTACTAACCACCTCCACTTTCTTTGTCTCTTTCTCCATTTCTCCTGCAGATCCGAGTTCGACCTGGACTATGACAGCTATCATGAGGTCTACTACGACAGGTACTGTCAGAAAGCTACGCATGGCAGCTCACGTGCCTTATTGCTTGTCCATGTTTTACAGGAGGCTAAAGAAAGAGGCAGATTCTTCATCCCTGCTGTCTTCAGTACTCTCCGCTTCCCATCGGTGTCTGCCACACAGCTGTCACTCATCTGGTCTTTGCTTACAATGTTGCCAGCTACTACTCAACACCCAGGAGCTCACTTGTCTGACACACACACACACACACACACACACACACACACACACACACACACACACACACTGAGAGAATCACACACACATGCCTTATTGCTTGTCCATGTTTTACAGGAGGCTAAAGAAAGAGGCAGATTCTTCATCCCTGCTGTCTTCAGTACTCTCCGCTTCCCATCGGTGTCTGCCACACAGCTGTCACTCATCTGGTCTTTGCTTACAATGTTGCCAGCTACTACTCAACACCCAGGAGCTCACTTGTCTGACACACACACACACACACACGAAGTCAGAGAATTGCACACACACACACACACACACACTCAAAACCATATATTTCCGCAGACAGTTGCACGGTTAAACATGCCCAGACCATGGATTTGTAATGTGAAGGTCCAGTCTGAGTAATATAATTTGCTTAAGTTGCATCTCTACAGAATTTCACAGGTGATATTATATCAAACTTTTCTTGCCTGATATAGTAAGAAAACTATATCAACTAAATGACTAAACTACTCTAATACACTATACAAAGGTGTGGAGTGCCTTGATAAGTCTAGAACAGCTTCTCTGCTCCTTGCTGACATTAATTCTCCAAGTTCCAAGTATCTGAACTCTACTGGAGAGATAACCCCTATTCTTCCAACAGAGATTCCTTCTTCATTTGGTGTTTTAATAATGACCGAGAGTGATGTCTAACACCAAATCTGCCATAGCGCTGAACCGGGTTGACATACGATTCACATTATTTTATTTTTGATTATCAACAAAGCACCATTTTTCCCTTTAATATACCACTGATCTTTGTCTAGACACGGGCTGATACATTTGTTCAACAGTGTGGCACAATGATTGCAGACATCACTGTGTCTTATTAGCATGAAACCAGTGTGTAAGGTGTTGGTACATACTGCTATATTAAATTGCTTACATATGTCAGCGTGTTGACAGTGATGAAGAACTGTTGTGTACTTGGTCAACACAAATTAAAAGCAAACTGGACCTAACAAAGCTTTGCTTACAAAAAGGCTTTCTCTTTGTCTATACTTCTACCTAAAGTTAGAGTGTAAAACGGCTAATACTGGACAAAGCTGGAAAAAAGTGAAGGATTAAAACTAATGACTGTCAAAGTCAGGTATTTATAGCGGACTAAAGATGGTTTTTTTGCAGTCTGTGGACTAAAAATGTTTTTTTTTTTGCAGTCTGTGGATTACTTGGACATACATGAAAATGCCAAACATGACAGCACCTGTGAAAATACAACTGTTTATAGGCACTTAAGGTCAAGTTCTCAGTTTAGCTGTCAGGACGGGCTGACGACAGCCACACACCAGGCTTACTGTATAATGTCACTTAAAACACTGAAACACTTTTAGCACATTGTTTTTGACCTATCATGAACTCTCAGTTAGTTTGCCTTCATGTTGCTGCAGAGTACACTTCTGTGCAGTGTACACTTAAGTGCAGTAGTTACAATAATGAGGTAGTTAGTCAGACTGAGCTCTACTCAGAGTGGCTCTGTATTATTGGTCCTCCACTGAAATTGCTCAGGGACTTTCCTAAATCCCCCAGGCCTCACGCATAAACACTCCATTCAGCACATTTGAGTAAAAGAAGGCAATGTCATTGTACACACACACACACAATATAAACCTCATTCCATTTCCCTTTCTCACATATATCGATGCTCTGTTGCTCTGAGTATTAACTGTCATCTTTCCTTTGTTTTTTCTCTTGGCTTTGGCTTGCTCTGAATTTTTCTCTTTGCTCAGGGGTGAACACTCACCACTGATTTTGAATTTGTTTTTAACACGGCGCATTATTATTCCCCATGCTGTTGGCTAGCACTACTGACAGCTGTGTGTGTGTGAGTTGGGGGGTGGTACTGGAAGTCTGTGCTTGCATATTTTTGTGTGTACACACGTGTTTGCCTCTAGCTGCAAGTGTGTGGGGAATGTGACTGCGTGCATGTTTGTTCTTGTGTTTGTGCACATAAATATGCGGGAAAGAGAGAAATTACAGTTTTTATGGTAAATGGTAAATGGACTGTATTTTATATAGCGCTTTCTCACAGTGTGTTACACTGGCCAAAGCGCTTTACAGGAGATTATACACCATTCACCCATTCACACACACATTCACACACCGATGACGAGAGACACTGGCGCCAGTCGAACCACCGGGAGCAATTTGGGGTTCAGTGTCTTGCTCAGGGACACTTAGGCATGCGGGGAGACCGGGAGTCGAACCACCAACTTGCTGGTTAGAAGACGACTTCCCTACCTCGTAAGCCACAGCCACCCCTATCTACAGTCCTCTTGTGCACACATGAAAGAAAAGTGTCTTTCAACATAGATAACAGCTCACGCTGACAACGCGGCTTTCTGTGTGGGGTCTAATCCATCAAGACAAACACACACTCTCACACACTTTTTTGTAATCCTCACTCGGCTGCCGTCTCTGAACTTCCATTCTCTGAGTTGATACTTCAAAGCCGGTGTAACAACACATTGTCTATCTGCCCCTGCAAACTGCTCTAAAGGACTTTTGACTCCCATAGGTCTCTGGTGTCCCTACACAGGCAGTGCTGAAAGCCTCTAATATTGCACACTTATGGTGGCCTAATACACTTCATCCTGTATGTGTGTGTACTGTGGATGTGCTAAGGAAACGGTGTGTGCAGAAATCTCCTCACAGAACAAACAGAAGACAATGGAGAAAACCTTTCAGGAAACTGGCTCAGTTTGACTGACTGACTACCAGCTCAATCAGTAAATCACTATCCAACTCAGAGTCCGTGCAGCAGACAGCTTGTCTCCCTGTTGTTGGCTTCTGATAAACAGCAGAGGAGCTTTCCCTTTCCTGGCTTTCCAGAAACAATTTAGGCAGTGTTCAGACTGTTGTCCATCCAAATATATCCAGATTGTGATTAGATTCAGTGCTATTGCTGTTACCCCAGAAAATAATGAGTCTACAATTAGATTTGTAACTCTTTTGGTCATTTTTTTAACTATGTCACTCAGTCTGCACAGATAATTTATGGCTGCTACAACTATTCAATTCAGTTTTATTTGTATAGCGCCAAATCGCAACAAAAGTCATCTCAGGACACTACAATTATTATTATTATTATTATAGAGGGAAAAACCAACAAATCCCCTTTGAGCAAGCACTTGGCGACAGTGGGGAGGAAAAACTTCCTTTAATGGAAGAAACCTCTGACAGACCCCGGCTCTTGGTGGGCGGCCTTCTGCCTTGACCAGTTAGGGTGAGTGGATAGAGGAGAGAGAAAAGAGGAAAAGCAACAAGACACAACAAACAATCAAACACTGATCAGGTCGATGTGGCTGGTGACTGCTCGTCAGAGACGTAGAGCTCCAGAGCCAGGGCAACCTGCAGAAAGGTACAGGGAGAGAGAGAGGACACACTACGGGAGAGAGGAGACACAAAGTTAGTAATGTGTAATGGTGGAGAGAAAGGAAAAGGAGAGGAGATACAGGTATTTGTTATTTTATCCATCCAATTGACACCACGGAGGCCAGGCTAAATGATATTTTAATAATAGTTTAAAGTTCCTTGCAGAAATAGAATACATTTTTTTTTCCAAAGTGTTCCATGTGAGGAACCACAAGTGGCACTATGAGGTCTTTAAGATACGATGGAGCCTTGTCATTAAGGGCTTTGTGTGTTATGAGAAGGATTTTAATTTCTATTCTGGATTTTACAGGGAGCCAGTGGAGAGAAGCTAATATGGGAGAGATATGATCTCTCTTGCTAGTTCCTGTCAGTACTCTGGCTGCAGCATTTTGGATTAACTGGAGGCTTTTTAGGGAATTATTGGGACATCCTGATAGTAAAGAGTTACAGTAGTCCAGCCTGGAAGTAACAAATGCATGGACCTCAGCATAACTCTGAGAGAGGATGCTCCTGAGCTTGGCAATATTGCGCAGGTGAAAGAAGTCCGTTCTAGAGACTTGGTTTATGTGTGATTTAAAGGACTGGTCAAAAATGTCTCCACGGTTCCTCATAGTAATACTGGAGGCAAGAGCTACAAGAGGAACTATATGGTTGGATAGCATATTTCTAAGATTTTCAGGCCCAAGTACAGTAACTTCGGTTTTGCCAGAGTTTAGAAGTAAGACATTACACAGAAACATTTATGAAATCTTCCATAATTTGGCTGCTCTAGTTCTCATACTTCAAAAACATTGCCAGTGATGTTTGGTTTTAGTTCTGTAGCTGTGTTTCACCTGGTCACTGCATCAGTGGGTGCTGAGGTCAAAATATTAGGCCAGATCATTCTTTTTCAGCCACAACATCACCCCTATTTCTGTAGAAAACACACATGGTGTCCTTTCCGTAACCACTGTGGAGTTTGACTGTGATACACCCCCTGTCACTGGCACTACTAGCCTGGCGGGGAGCTATTGATTGGCCTTGACAGAACCAATTACATTCAGTGACAGTTAGAGACATGGAGCTGTCCACAGGGACGAGGCAACACCAGCACATGATCGAGAGAAAAAGAGATAGAAAGTGCAAGACAAAGGAACATAGAATATAAATGTCTATATTTATCTTAGATGCACGAACAGCTGCTGTTCTTCACTGTCATTTCTTTCATTCCCTTGTTTTTTAGGTATAACTAAAGGCATCAAGAGGTGATTTTTTTAATTTGCTACTGCAAATATCACACTGATCCTTTTTAGAAAACTTAATTTAAGAAATATTTCTTTCCTTTTTTAATTTAGCAAACACAAAATCTAACAAGTTAAATAAAACTACCAGTAAATAACTTTGTCTAAATTAAACAGTCTAAAGTGACAATGAAAATGAAAGTTCTGATTCTGTGCAACTGACACATTTTGGTTAGTAGCAAAAAGTTTTGAGACTCAGCCTTAGTTGAACCATTGTACTGTGTGGGCGAAGGTTAACATCATTTGAATATGAGACGTTCACCAGTTTTAGGTGGCTTTAAAGGCAGGGGGACTGTTTCTGCACAGAGAACAGTGGTTGTGGACGGCTCAAAGCACACGCACAGTAATCATCTCCATGGTCCATTGACAAGCTCAGTTTAGCTACTTTTACCTACATATGTCTAATTACACTGGTTTCAACTTCTTGTGAGTAGTTCATCATGCAAGTGGATTGCATTAAATCACAACTCACTTTCAGTAAAACCTCAGCTGCAGGAACACGGTTCAAGATAAATTGTTTTACAATTGTCCCTACTGAATTTCCAGGGTCTATGACTACCAACGTGTGCCAGCATCCATGTCCCCCTTACCCCTGGGACCCAGTTTGGCCAAACGATCCCGTTCCTCCTCCTCCGGACACAGACGCAGTCGAGACAGAACCCACACCAAAAGCTCCCGAACCCACTCCACTAGTTCAACCACAGCCAAGTGTGAGTAATATGATTGAACTGGAAGTGATATCTGACTCCACTTAAGCTGCTCAAGGCTGTTTTGTTAAACAAAAACATCAGTTTTAATATTTATTAGAAGACTCCCATACACCCCTACATTAGATGCTGTAGATTTGCAGTTTTCCTAAATCCTCAGAGAAGGAAATAGTCAATTTCACTGAGTGAAAATTTAAATGCTAAATAGAAAGCATTAAAAGCAGCCATGCAGTACTCCATTAAGCGGAAATGTTGGCCATTAAATCTCATTCCTCTCATCCTTTCAGTCCAAAGTGATCAGAGACAAAATATGCAGTGTGTAGTTTACACGCGTTACTGCACATGATTACTAAAAATTTAAATTCGAAGACTTTAAACAGTTACCCTTTTTCTCTGATGTTGCTTTGATGAGACGAACAATGCACCAGGAGATTTACAACGGGTGCATGACACTTAATGTGAGTGGCAAATAAGAAACACAAAGTGTGCACGTGCTGCCCAAGTAGTTAATGATCTCAAATGTCATGGCAGCTTGCACCTTTACAGTGTAATCAAAACAGTTTATGTTTCATTTTTCATCTTCATAGTGCCATTTTTAAAAAGTAATATTTCAACATCTCAAGAATTATGCTTATTCTCATTCTTGCAAGAGTTAGACAAGAAGATCAGTCCACTCTTATGTGCATCAAATATGGACCTGAAGCAAGGATACAGTTAGCTTAAAACTTAGCTTAAACACAGGGACCTCCCAGAGTCTCACGGTGACAGAAAGACTCCAGAAAATTGCTACTTCTGAGCAAAACCACAACTTATCATTTTCACATGTCAGTTTTTGTTCAGACTATAACAAACACGATGTAACTTGTTAATTACTGAGTTTTAGGTGTGCTGGTGGGTGGATTTTGTTACCTCCAGAGAGAACCAGGCTAAACTAAGCTAATCGGTTCCTCACTCCTTTAGGAATAATAACATTATCAGTCTTCAGAGTGAATATGTGCATTCCCTAAAATGGAAAACTATTCCTTCCTATTATTTCCTTTTTTCTCTTACATTCTTTCTCTTTCTGTCCCTGCAGTGGGCATGGAGGAGTTGCAGGTGATTAAAAAGGAGCTGACTCTGATAAAGACACAGATCGATGGGTTGCTTGACAGTCTTGACAAGATGGACACACAGAGGAATGACCACAAAGGTAAGACAGTGACGCAAGCAGACAATGGAGGCAGATGGGTGTGTGATCAAATGATAGATAATCTATTCGCCCATCAAAAACATTTCAAGGCAGACTCCAGCAATATGCCGCTTTCAGATTTCTGCTTGATTAGCTCCTTCAGTCACAACCCCAATCAAAATGATTCAGGATCTGTGCTGCAGGGAAACTAGGAGATGGGAATACACTGCACCAGCGGAGCCACTCCTGCTTTACCTGACAAATCAATTATTTTCTTCCAGTCAGGATTTTTTATAAAGTTGAATAAAATGCAAAATCAGCTGGGGGGGCGGGGGGGTGATGTCTGGATTTATGTTTGTGAGCAAATTATAGAACATGCTGAACAAACAGTATGGTTGAAGTGAATGACTGATGAAGTCTCAGAAAACACAAATATAAGAGATGGCGAATGACAACAGCACAGATAGAGGAAAACATTGCTGCTGCCCTCATGTGGACATTTGAGTACAGTGCAGTCAGAGCACCTGTCAGTAAGATCAACAGCCCAGGACAAAGCTTTATTATCCTTCCTAAGGAAATTGGTTTTACTGCAATCTTAATTAAACTGATCGTAAACTGAAACTCAATGTACATGACTCATTTGGTGCATTCACTTACACTAAAAAGTTGTTGTAAAAACAAAGACAGGGCTTTAACCTCAAACCTAGAAGTCATTATCATAACAGCTTGAATATAAAAAAACATGGTTTACTAAGAAGAGAATGGGTCCTGTGGCTACTGCAGTTTAGTAGCTGTACTTGAACACCTGCAGAAAGTGTGTGTGCATGTGTGCCTTCTCCTTTCTACTTTGAATGACCTTGAGCGATTGATAGCTTTCAACTTCATATTAATTTATCTCTGGCTGTACTTGATTTGCCTGTCTCTCACGATCTAGCCATGCTGTCGCTCGCTTCCCCCTCACTATCTCGTCATCTGTCCTTCAGCCTGTCACTCCCACTCTTGTTTTCTGCCTGTTATCTAATACAAAGCTGAGTGGGATGTTTTTGTCTTTGACCCACAGTAATAACTGAATAAAACAGAACTCAGATTTTACACCAGACTCCATGTATGTATGTTTTGTGTTGTAGAGTCTCCCCTGAGAGAGGACAGTGCAGCTGACTCACTGTACACGGCCAGTAGTCCAGAGCGCTCCCTGTCTCCACCCAGCTCCCGCCATCGAATCACCAAGGAGAGCCCTGATCTGAGGGAGCCGCATGATGACCACACGGTAAATGCACCATAAGATGTGCATTTTTGGGGACTGACTAAATGTGAGGGGACATCCCTCTTGGCCTTTTTGCCCCTGCATGTAGCATGATGGTAGTTCTGGCGTTTCTGTTGAGAGTTATGACAAAGATAAAAAAAGGTACAATATTTGATTTAAGTAGTGATCCTTTCTCTGCCAGCCCCTCCCCCCCTTTTAGAGAAAACTCTCACAAAAACAAAAAAATGTCAAATTGTAATTTTAAAATAATTACAAATAAATAATTTTAAGAAACTGTTCATGGGCTGTAAATTACACAGACAAGATAACCAGATATTTCTGTGTCGTCATGAGGCGCGTGGACATAAAATAACGACTACAATGAAATCAATTCATACGTGCAGAATGAAATTTTACTAAGCCATTCTGAGCTTGTATATGAAATGTCTCTGGTGTTTTCTCTCAGTGTCCTGTCTCACTGTCTGTGTGCCTGTCTGTCTGTAACAGATGAGCGGCCACAGCTCTGACCCCGAGGAGGAAATGTGAGGGAGGAAAATGAGAAGATGTAGAAGGATGTGCATTAAGTGTCAAACATTGCGGAAGAGAACAACCACCACCAAGCCTGGCTGCATTCCCCCTAGTAGGGTGTACATATCAGAAAACACAATACAATTATTTGTATCACAGCAGCTCGGTGACTGTAGTGACACAGGTGACTTAAACAATACACTGTTTTGTTAGGTAGAGCGTGAACATATCTAGAGAGTAATGAAAAAAACAGCACAGTTGTGAATTTAACCTGTCTACTTAAATTTCGCCTAATGTAATATAAGAGCAGGTTTGCACAAACAGCAGTATTCCAGTATTAATACAGATAATAGTATTAATCCAAACAAGTGAATTCTCTGATTAAAACATTACCAATTTATCTTATTCACATTCATCTTCCTCTGAAAGCAGGCAGCCCCATATGCCTATGTACAGTAATAATTTATGTGTAGTCACGGGATTTTGCAAGAAGTGCAGGAGGAAAGTAACAGCAAAGTGAGACAAAACTGAAAGAAAATGTAAACATTTTCTTTGCTCTTTTTAAAATAACATATCTGTTTATAGAGGAGCTGCAGTTAGATCATTCACAATCAGTGCAGAACCAGAAATATTAATGAAGCAGGAGTTGTACCACATAAAGAGCTTAATTTAATTAGGATATAATTGGAATATTGTGTGCATGTAGTGTTAAATGAAAATCCTCTTTGTGGAGCTCAGTTTAACTTGCAAATGAAATGTGTACACTCTCCAATGTGATCTTTCAAGAGGGCTTGTTGTTGACACTCAACTAACACTTTCACCTTATTGTATACTTCAAAGATATTAGAATTTAGCTACTCAGAGTAAACTACGGTAATCCTCGAGAGACTGGATGAACACACTGCTTATTCGGGAGAGAACCAGTATGCTGTTTGTTCGAGAATGGCTCAAAGAAATGTTATACAAGCGACCTTGTTATGTCACACCTTTCAGAAATACAAGTACTTCCTTTGAACGTTTTCAAGGAATGACAACTCTCTTCCTCTATGTATTTGGCACTTTTAAGATGTGCAAAAGCCCAGGTCAATGTGTAATATTGTGTATTATTGTAAACTTTACTGTAATTGTTCAGCTGTCTGATTTTAATCTTGCTTTAGGACTTCTCATATGTTTTTTAAAGGAAACAATGATGTTATTATAATTCTTATGGGTGTTACATGTTTTGTTTGGAATCTTAAGCCAAGTGGAAATGCTCATTGTCACAGTAGTAAAAGTATTTTCATATTGACTCGAAATGCAGTTCATAGTGGTGTTTTTATTCTGAAAGGCCAAGACAGACACAGAGGACAGAGTGGAAGAGAAACAAACATTTGGATATCATGGAAATGTGAGATTATAAAGTCATGAAATTATAGTAGGTCTGCATGCTGCTTGTCTTACAAAACTGGACCACCTATGCCACTAGTCTGAGGTATGTAAACTATATGTGCAGAAAATCTAATACATCATGCATTAATTAAAGTGAGAGTCCACACCATATAGTTCATGCAGAACACAAAGGAATGCTGAGACCGTAAATATCACCTTGGTTACTTGGAGTCACAGTGGACTTTTAGATCATGTGATCATGTCTGTAGTGTGACCCCAAGGAGCCTGTGCACAGTAGCAGTATAGTAGTATATTGTGTGTGTTGCTCTGAGGGATGCAGCATGTGATATCACCAACATGAACCAGACTCAGGCTGTGTAATTCTCTACCCAGAGCAAGCTGCCCATGCAGCACTGACGAGACCCAGCCATGCAGGTCGGAAACAGATCAAGAAATAAATTTAGCTCTGACAGTTGTTGGGGAAAAAAGAAAAGAGTTCAGTATAATTTTTGTCAGTCTGTCATTATCATCAGCAGCACATCCTCCTTAATCACTACAGTGAAACTAAATCAGACTTGTTTTACACAAGTTGTAAAAAAGAATGATGATTCCACCTGCAGCCTCTCCACCACCAGCTGTCTCTCTGGAAAGCCAGTCTAGCCTGAGAAACATAAATGAGAGAGAAAAAGGATCCACGAAGCTGAGATGTTAAGGCCACACAGAGAAAATAGCAGATGGCCTTACACTCTAACATAGTTTTGCTATAACATGTTAAAGTTGAGAATGTTTATGGGTTTTTGTTGCGTGAAAAGAAATATCAAACTTTTAATATGAAGATTTTAAGTAAATACCAAACTGGAAACATATTGAATTAAAAAAACATCCATTCATTATCTATACTGCTTATTCTGAGGGGGGTTGCACAGGGGCTGGAGCCAATCCCAGCTGACACTGGATGAGAGGCAGGGGCCACCCCGGGCCGGTCACCAGTCTATCACAGGGCTGACAGAAACAAACAACCACACACACCCACACTCATTCCCATAGGCAATTTAGAGTTGCCAGTCATCCTAAGCTGCATGTCTTTGGTCTGTGGGAGGAAGCCAGAGCACCCAGAAAGAACCTATGCAGGCACAGGGAGAACATGCAGGGCTCCACACAGAAATGCCCCGGATCGGCCGGGGCTTGTACCCAGAACCTTCTTGTTGTGAGGCACCAGAGCTAACCACTGCCCTACCATGCTGCCCCAAGCACCCCCACCCATATAGAAACAAACCTTTTTATTTTAATAATGCGCACACAGCGAGGTGCAGACATTAAAGGCAAGAAGAACTGTGACGAGTTTTTGAAAAACAAAAACTGTCAAATCACACCAGGAAATGCAGTTTGGGATCATTAATGTCCTAAGTGTCCTAACCTAAGCAAGTTCAACTCACTGTTGAAGTCAGTGAGGCATAGTCAGAAGCTCTGGCAGCAGCTAAGAGAGTGGACATTTAAAATATTTACCACAGAGCTGTCCTGTGATTCATGTCATAAACATTTCTGTCTATTGTATCTAAGAAGAAAAATACGACTGCAGTTCATTTTCAGCATGAAGTGGGCTTTGTATGCATCATGACCTAAATCTATTCTTTTATGCTTGTCAGTAATACCATTAAACTACTTGAAGCACAGTTCTGTCTTGGGGTCAAAAAATTAGCACATGCCAAATACCAGAGTTTGGTATGTGAGAAACCAAAGTCACTCTTGTCAGTGGTTAGCTACTGTTGTCAATGTTTAGCTCCAAAAAATCTTCCAAGTTTGAAAACAATGAAGGGAGGTATCACAGCTCATGTCAAAAACACATTCATCTGTAGCCTTCAGGAAGTGATAGGTTAGGTAATGACAGTTCATAACCCTGCAATCAAACAAATAAATGTCAATATATCAAAAAGACTGTTCTTTTTAACATTATTAATTGTGCTCCTCTGCATGAACCCCAGCCTCAGAGCAGCTTACTCTGATCAATCATTTCCACTGAGGTCAAAGTGCTGAAAGCAAGGAGCTCTTGCACAACTGGCCTTCTGTTGACAAAAAGATAAGCATGAATGTACTGTCTGCCATATTTTACAGGGCAATGTGCAGAACTTTATGATTGTAATGTGATAAAAAACTGATGCTGTTAAATAAACCATAAAATTGGATTTCTCAGTTAAAACTGCTGACCCAGCTTGGATTTTATTTATCAGCACACATGAGTGTGAACAGGCTGCATCAACTGAAGAGTCATATTTTGTCTGATAATAAGGTAAGCCAAAACTTTCAATGAATAAATTTTGAAATAGAAGATTTTTGATTAAATGTAAGTGTACATTCAGTATGTTGTAGCAGATACTGTATTTCATTACAACTATATGCACTCTGTAGCAAAGGAGACATATTTTGTGAGTGGTGGGAAAGGCAGTCAACAGCTCACTAAATTAAAATGTTCAGCATGCTTGTTTTTTTTTTGTTTGTTTTATATATTTCAAATTTTTATAGATGACAGAGCACTAGAATTCTACCTTTTCACATATTTTTAAGTGCTTCATTTTTCTCTGGTTTATATTTTAAGGTTCCCTATTTTAAATATCTAACTTATAATACTGATGAAAGAAGCAGAAAGGACTGTATTAAAATACTTATGTCGAAACACTCCAGTATAACACATTACTGTACTTACATTACTATGACATTTAGTTTTTGACACGATGATTGTCTGAACACTGACCGAGCTGACCGATATAAATTTAAACTGGGATGTGAACATTTCACTTGAAAAGTTGGAATTATTTAACAAAGGTAAATAGAAATCAAGCGAACTCTGTGTTATTTTCAAGAAAAATTAGGCCTGTATGAATATGATAATTGCCAGCAGTCAAACATTATATGTTTCATTTTAAAAATTGTTGTTTAATGTGATTACTTCATATTTAAGATGTTCAATTTTAGATCTTAATTCCTTCTTCTGCAGATCACAGCAATGACAGGTTCACCCAGTCCTCTGACCACCCATGTGCTTAACACTGCGATGGGGGTCCCTGGGTCAAACATGGCCATCAACCTCTACCAACATGACCACTCCACTAATGCCTGGAGTCTGATAACCACTGGGTAATAGAAAACAGATGACAGAGTATAATATTCTGATCATCTCAAACACACTGCAAATTTTACATCATTTCAATCTTATGTTGTCTCAAAAGGACCACTAATGATGATGGACGTTGCCCAGGACTCATCACAAAACAACAGTTTACATCTGGTGTGTACAAAATGCGTTTTGACACTGCTCAGTACTGGGCGAGTATGGGAGAGACCTGTTTTTACCCCTATGTGGAGGTGAGGCTGAAAATATTTACATCTGGACATGCTCAGCTGGCGTTCAGAGGTGTACTCCTGCTTTACTTGCTTGTTGTGTTACTATATTTCTGTATATTTGTATCCACATTTAACTAACTGTATAATCTTGACATATGTGTAATTGCTGACTTCTGTTATGTTTCTGGTTATGTTGCAGATTGTCTTCTTTATAAATGATCCTGGCCAAAACTACCATATCCCTCTGCTCCTGAGTCGTTTCTCTTATAGTACATACAGAGGGAGTTAGAGATCAAGCATGATGAACTCCTGAGGCTGCATCCATCTGTCAGCAGCCTAAAACATCACAAACATCACAGAGGCAACTCCATCAAAAGCATTCATCACAGTATGAATGCTCCATTTGAACAATTATTATTGTACTTTTTAGAATAGTATATCATTGTGTGACAGAAGAGTGGCAGCAAGAATCAAAGGAAAGGTGTACAAGACAGTAGTGAGACCAGCTATGCTGTATGGGTTAGAGACTGTAGCAGTGAGGAAAAGACAAGAGGCAGAGATGGAGGTACTGAATCACAGTACTTGAGTAAATGTACTTACTTTTCAACACTGTGTATCAGAGCTACTGCTAATGCAAGCTCAGTATTTTCTACTTATTCTTTCAGCTGTTCCCATTAGGGGTCGCCACAGCGAATCATCTGTTTCCATAGGTGGAAACAGATGATTCGCTGTGGCGACCCCTAACGGGAACAGCCGAAAGAAGAAGAAGAAGAAGAAGAAGAAGAAGAAGAATAGTATATCATTTTACCCATATTTTACACAGTTATTAAAACATCCAAGATGTTACTCTTTAATAAACGTGCATATGAAAAGAAAAGAAAAAAGAACAAAGTATTTTTTACACTGTGATATAAAAAATCGGAGTAGCCGACTTCTTACATTACTGTTAAGAGTCGACCACACACCATTTCTTTTTCCTATGCGAGTCTGGCTCTGTGCTCGATTACCTCTCCCTGTGTGTTGGATCGACTTTATCTGTGTTGATTACACTCCCCGGGCCTAGGTAGGGCCTATCCTTTGGTGGGAGTTTAGTGCACGTTTTCTTACGATCTCTCATCCGTTTTCAGTCCGTTTTGATTATATTTCTGTGTAAACCATGGCGGACGACGAATTGGAGGCAATTAGGAGACAAAGAATGGCGGAACTGCAGGCAAAGCACGGGGTAAGAACAAAATATGAGCTGGGAAGCGTGTTTGCTCCCACCTTATAAGGAGATGCCGAGTTTAGTACGTTATGCAGCTAGCTAATGATAATCACAACTCATCTAACTTAACTGTCACCCAGGGAATAGCTTGTAACCATATAGCTCACTTTGATCCATACAGCACAAATGAAATTTAATTAAGTCTGGTGTTAGATAAATCACAGTAGCAACTAACATCATCTCACTGTTCACGTTAGCTTTGTATTGACCAAATCAGACGGCTCACACCCCTCTAATAATGACAGCGTTAGAGCAAAGTTGAGTCAACATATTTTAGTGTGTTTTTGGCCAAAGCCACAAGTAGAGAATAAACTGAGTTGGGACTGAGTGTCTTTTATATCGTCTGAGATTCTGTAAAGTCAGTAGGCAGGACATTTTCATGAACGTACGTGTTTCTTTAACACGTAAACAAGTTTAAAAATGACCATCAGAAGACGGTACAGTAACACCATGATGTGTTGGTATCCTAAATATAACATGAAAACACAATCTTTTTGATGCTTACTTCAGTCACTGCTCTCAATTATTTTTATTTAAAAGTATGTTGGTGTATTACTGTGTATTACTGGACGTAAACTTTATAAACAGTGCTCAGCACAGAGTTCATGAATTGGCCAGGCCACTATTGCAACAGGTTTTAACTGTTAGGTTAAAAGAGCATTGTAATTTATTTATAAATGCAACAATGCTGTATCATGATGAAGCTATAACTAATTTAAACTGACTTCAGAAAATATTCAGACCCCTTCACTTTTTGTTTCTGTTGTAGATTTAACTTTAAATGGATAAAATTGCCATTTTTGTCAGTCTGCACTTAATAACCCATGACAACAAAGTGAAACTACGCCTCTAAATTTTGCAAATGTATTAGAAATGATAAACTGAGCACTTAAGGACAGAGCATAGCATGATGCTTCCACCGCTATGCGTCACTGTAGTGATGTTGTTAGCAGGTGATGAGCAGTACCTGGTGTTCACCAGACAAAGTGCTTGGAGTTCTGCCTGAAGAATAAAATGTTCATCTCAGACCAGATAATCTTTTTCTCCATGCTCTCAGCATCTGTTAAATGCTGTTTGCCAAACTCCAAGCAGGCTGTCATCTGTCTTTTGCTCAGTGGCTTCTGTCTAGCCACTGTCCTGATTGATGGAGAGCTGCTTAGATGGTTGTCCTTCCAGGAGGTTCTCACATCTCTGCAGAGGACTTCTGAAGCTTTCTTAGAGTCTGTTAGTGAAAGCTTATATATTCAAATGTGTGCCTTTCTAAACTATAGTATGTCCAGTCAATTTAGTTTGCCACAGGTGAACTGTAAACCCATCTCAAGTAAAATACAGAGAACAGAAGGATACATCTGCAACAGTCTGGAGTCACAGCACAGCCACAGCAAAGGGTCTGAATACTTTTCTAAATGAGAGAGTTCTGTGAGATTTCACTGGTCATTAGCAGTATTAAGGAAATATTGACTTTTATGAAATCTTTATCCTTGGTAAGATAAGATGAGATGAACCTTTATTTGTCCCGCAACAGGGAAATTCACAATGATGCAACAACAAAGGGATAGAAACAAGGCACTCAGTGTTAAGAATATAAAGGTAACTGACAATGTATTATCGATATGTCTGCTGGGAGCGATGCTGGTTGTACAACCTGACAGCAGAAGGAAGGAAGGACCTGTGATAACACCCTGTCACGCACGTGGGCTGAAACAGTCTGTCACTGATGGAGCTGCCTGGTGCTGTCAGTCTTATGCATGTGGGGTGGATGTCCTTCCCCAGCAAGGAAGTTAGCTTGGCTAACATCCTCCTGTCTCCCACCACCTGCACTGGGTCAAGGGGACTTCCCAGTATCTAGTCTCTCTCACTACTGTGTCAAAATAGGTCCTCTGGAGCATCGCCTGCGCTCCAAACGACCTTAATCTCCTCAGCAGTTAGAGCCTGCTCTGGCCTTTCTTGTAAAGTGCATCAGTGTTGTTTGATCAGTCCAGTTTATTGTTGAGATGAACACCCAGGTACTTATAGGTTCACCCACCGGTGTTGGAGGGGTGTGTCTGCGCACACCACCAGCTCTTAGGGTGTACTTCCTCCAACCTATATGTGACGGTGCTGTCTCACATATTCTTTCAGGATGCCTCAAATAATCAGCAAGGAGAGGAGGCCAAACAAAGGTAAGATGTGTTATTAATGTATATAAGTACAGTGATTAATATTTATTTATATACCTTACACATTTACTTTTTTTTATTGCTCAAATAAGTTGCCATTAAATTGAACAACATCTGTACCGAACTGTAAAACAAAATATATGAAATACAAATCACTGTAATTTTAGGACCTGTATTTTTTTTTTAAATGTATTGATTTATTTTTTTTACTGATATGATTTTCAGACTGAAACTGTAGTGACATTGCTTTTTATTCACAGAGAAACGGAAATGAGGAACACTATATTGGCTCAAGTTCTAGACCAGTCTGCTCGTGCCAGATGTAAGTGTGCTCTCAAACGTATCTTTTAACCTGCTGAAATGTCCTTTGGAAATAAAGCATATTCTTTTGTTTCCATCCTTCAGTGAGCAATCTTGCTTTGGTGAAACCAGAGAAGGCCAATGCAGTTGAAAATTATCTCATTCAAATGGCTCGTTTTGGGAAGTTGGGAGGAAAGGTAAAAAAAAAACAACAACAACCTCTGATGCTTGAAACACTGAATGCAGTTGATGTTCTTCCATATGCCAGCTGTGCAATGAACAGATTTTTCTCTTCTGTCAGATTTCAGAATCAGGCTTGATCGAGATCCTAGAAAAAGTCAGTCAGCAAACAGAGAAAAAGATGACTGTCAAAGTGAGTTTCACTGGAATTAGACATTCGATTCATTTTCACTCGCTTGTCCATCTTACATTGTTTTTATTTTCGGTGGTTTTCAGTTCAACAGACAGAGGGTGATGGACTCCGAAGATGAGGATGATTACTAACATTAAACGAGCCCTGGAATGAGACAAGAAATTGGGAGAGCAGATGCTTTACTGGGACTCTAGATAGCATCTTTGACCAGCCTTTTGCTGTTGCCCCGGGATGCCATACTAGCTTCTGTGTGTCTGTGGATACTACAGACCAAGAGAGAAAAATAAGTTGACATTGTGGCATAAGTAGTGTATGCACACACTGTCAATTAAGTGTCTTTTTTTGTGATCTCTTTTCAATGAAATTGTCATAAATTTGCTCTGCGTGTGTTGTACCCTGAGAGCTCATGGCTCTGTTTGACTCCTCCAGTCCTTGGTAGTTACTCTGTTTATTTTTCTTTTGTTTCATCATGGTTGACTTCTTTTCTTCAAATATAAGAAGCTAGATAAAATGCAAAACATACTGCTGCTGATGCATTTTGTTCTGTGAAGACAATACATTGTCCTCTATTCAGGGCCAGAGTCCTTTGAACTTTGCAGTTGAATATTTTCATTTCTCTCACATGTATCTTAAAAGGTTTACATAAAAATTAAAAAAGCCTTAAATCCACATGTTTTTCTTTCCACTGAGCCATTTCTAAAACTAAGTTATATCAGTTAGTGTTCAGCCTTTTTGAAAAGGTTTCCACTGTGGGTTTACACAGTTTGTTTTTCTGTTGACCAGAAAGCATCATCACAGTTTCCTCAGCAGGATGGAGACTTAACTAGTTTTGAAATTTCAAGATTTGGTTTTTTAACAGATTGACAAATTAAAATATTCAGCTGCTTAAAAAAAGTTTTGCTCCCACAATCAACAGTGTTAACAAACCACAGATGACTGACCAAAAGCATTTTTATAGTTGTTACATTGGTTTTACTACATTGGCTGCAGTTAGCATGGCATGCATTTTACAAACACTACGGTTTTGTAATGCTTTTATTAACTTATAGATTCTAAACCATATTTGCTTTGCACCGTTTTGTTATTGTATTAACAAGGGGAAGAGGAGAGACTTGTGATTCTACCAGAAAAGGGACAAGATGGCTAGATTAAATGTCTAAACAGTTAATACGTATGTAAATGTATCCTTCACACGCATCTGAAGTATTGAAAGAAGTATTTCTTTACACAGACAGAATTGCCACTGCCATTACTGATGTTAACTAGTCAAGGTGGAGCAAAGTTTTGTTATAGCTTTAATGGTTGATGTCTATTTAATGAGGCCACCATAGTGTGTTTACAGATACAGGTAATTGCATTATTGTGGGACAGACGCCTTGGCCCATTTTCGCACGACCGTGGTCAGATGATTTTTCATTGGCTATTCCGCCTGGTTCATTAAAATGGTTCGCCTCTGATTGGTGGCGACATTAGCCACATGTTCAACAGTAGCCAATGAGGAGAGACGTCGAGGAACTACTACTACAGTTAGCTAACAGAGTGCAACTGCTAAACACGAGAGTAGCAGTGTAAAGTATTTCAGGACGTTCAGGTACCGTTTTTATCAAAAGATAGCATCTATTTAGATGTACACTTATGCCCGAGGGCAGTATGGGCATTTCAAACATAGCTACGTGCACCGCTCCTGTGAATATAGCCGTCATCAAATACTGTAAGTATCACCTCGACCTATGTTTAGCCTTGTGTGGTAGGTTTGTAGTAAAAAAAAAAAACGTCCTGCACAGTCGATAAATGTGTTTGAGTGCTGACTTGTAAAAGGTTTGATTTCGTGGTGTACAAAACTGTGCTGTGTCTATTGTGTCGAGCTGATAATACCTCAGTCATGCACATGTATAAAACCCTCTTTTCAGGGGGGAAGAGAAATGAAGAATTAATTCTACCCATTAACTCGTCTCTGAGCGTCACATTGCACCAGGACCAGGTAACATATTTGTCAGTTATTCTATGAGTCTTTTGAACATAGGAAAACAATATGCTTTATCGACGTCCTTCTGTTTTCCTGCCGTCATACACTGACTTCATAAATAAAAGTGCAATAAGAGGCAAATTCAGTAATGTTTTTCGCAATATTTACATCCACTCGTGCTATTTCATACATTGTAAACTGCCTGGCAAAACAATGTACCGATAAACCTGGCAGGAGAGTTGGCATTAGAATACAGCGTGTGACCATGGAGGTCAGTTTTGGTAGTGCAAGTTTTGCTCTCGGCGCACCTGCTATTTCTTTGCAGTCTTTGGTTGCAAATCAAACACTTTTGCAGATCAGAATCTTTTGATTTTGGTTCACATTACAGTACAGTGCTTCTTCTATTTAGCTGAAAACAACCACAACAATTGCAACCAGCAGATCATTTCAGGAGGATCGGATATGGCTCAACGGAAAAGAGGAGGACATAAACCATCCAAGACTACAGTCCTGTCTGAGAGAGAGTAAGTCTGTTTTGTTTTTGCTCTTAAAAACACAGGCAACAAAGACTGGGAGTTAAAAAGAGTGCAGGCTATCATTTTTCTGTGTTCTGTATTTAGTTCGACGATTAGCACGGAAGAGACGTAGTGATGGAGATCCTGGTTTGGATTCAACCGGTTTGTCCCACAAAGTCCACATCTGTTCTGTTAACAACTTCCCCACTGCTGCTGGCCTTGCCTCCTCAGCTGCTGGATTTGCTTGTCTAGGTGAGAGCGTATCTGTGTGTAAGATACGTTTCCATGTATGTTTGAAATTACACTAACAACACCAGATTACTACTTCCCAACAGCTGCTTTTCAGGCTAAGAAAAGTTCTAACTATTATTCTGTTGCTTGTGTTAGCCAATTCTAGTTAAGTGTCACATTACAGTAACTAGGCAGAGAATTTTTGTTATAAAAAATGCAAAATAATAAAATCGTCTGTATTTACTTCCCTGTCAATTTCATATTTGTCGCATCTTCACTTTATCCCAGTCTCCTCTGCTCGTGCTCCCGCTGTCATCCCTGTGTTGCAGTTCATACTCTTGCTCGGGTGTTTGGCATAGAAGCGGAGCTGTCTGCGATTGCTCGGCAGGGCTCAGGTAGCGCATGCAGGAGCATGTATGGAGGGTTTGTCCAATGGATCATGGGACACCAAGATGATGGCAAGGACAGTTTAGCCCAGCAGGTGGAGCCAGAGACTCACTGGCCTGAGCTCAGAATTCTTGTACTAGTGGTAGGTCTGATTGTGTGTGTATGTAAATGAGACTACACAATGTGAATGTTGGCACTTTGCGCTCTATTGTGAAAGGCATACATGTGTTTATTTCTGTAAATGACAGTTTCTTAGGGAACATGCAGAGTGTCTTGACTCCTGCACGAAATGCACATTTTAATTAAAACGAGTAAAAAGTTACACCAGGTGTCATCTGATGCACTTTCTCACAGGCCAGTGCTGAGCGGAAGCCAATAGGCAGCACCTCTGGGATGCACACCAGTGTAGAAACAAGCTGTCTCTTAAAGGTATTTCGTTCATCCTGCAACATGCTAACATTGCTGTTGATAGGAACTCAATTGACTTATTCTCATGATAGGTTTATGTCCATTATTTGTATGTGTAGCACCGAGCTGAAGCTGTCGTCCCAGTCCGGATGGATGGGATGATTGAAGCAGTGCAAAGAAAGGACTTCCCTGCATTTGCTGAGCTAACAATGAAGGACAGTAACCAGTTCCATGCCACCTGTCTTGACACATACCCTCCTATCTTCTACCTCAATAATGTGTCTCATCAGATCATCAACTTGGTGCATCAGTATAACAATTACTATGGCGAGACAAGGGTGAGCATAGTTCTGTTCCCGAAAAAGCACATTAATCTTATTTGGACACATGTCTGTTATCTTGTTTTATCAATACTGATTACTGCATAACACAATTCTGGCAATAAAGGAAAAAGGTTATTTTCTTATGTATTAAGGTAATTTCAGTTTTCTGCAAAACATGGAAACATGACTGGTTCACCATGACTATTCAGAAAGAAACATCTTGGTAAATAGTTGGCAGTCACATCAGTTATACAGTATGTGACTTGAAGATAGTCGAGCTAAAACTACAGGCATCCTTTTAAAGATCTCCAGATAAGATGCCTGTGCTGGCGTGTAGTCTTACAATAGTGTATTTCATACAGTACAACTGTAGCCTTCTCATTTTTGTATCACTCATCCTGGGTATGTCTTTTTTTTTCTTGCGTTAGAAATTTGTCTCAGTTCACCCATCTGGGTTTCTGTGATGGTGTAATGAAGATGTGAAACTTCATATTGGGGAACAGAAAAACTCTCCCTCTTTATATGGCAGTCACCATCTGTTTGCTTCCTTATAGGTAGCCTATACTTTTGATGCAGGGCCAAATGCTGTGATCTTCACTCTACAGGAGCACGTTTCTGAATTTATTCAGGTGGTTCGACATTTCTTCCCCCCGGAGACCAACGATGGACAGTGAGTTTACAGTTACACATTCTTACTTCATATTTTACTGCATCATTATCTCTAAATTTAATTAAACAACACTCAGAGAATGCAAACCTCCACTAAGGCAACTTAGTTTCCCCACAATGCCATTAAACCTCAAACCAATATTCCAGCGATAGTTTTGACCTTCATAATATTTTTCCTGGCGCATGGAAACCTAAACCCTAGTTTGAAGGTTATTTAATGGAAAACAATAGATATGAGAAACTATTAAATGATTACTTACAGTTGGCTACATATAAGTTCACTTTAGAGTCCGTTTTCCAATGTGCCTCCTGCTAAGCTCACTAGCTCCACTTGTCTTCATTTCAAGTGCTCAACAGCGCAGCAGCACACTTTCGCCACAAGGGGGCTCTCACATACTGTCAACAAACTTCCCAACACACAGTGGTGAATAATCTTTAAAAGATTCCTAGATCCAGATGTTGATCCAGCTCGGCACCAAAATTTTAATAGTTGCTCTGTGGGCTGTACCCTACCTATCCAAATCCATTCATTACTTTCTGAGCTAGGCTGTGAATAAACAAATTCAGGCAAAAACTTTACCTCCACTTTGGTAGAGGTAATGAAGTAAATGTAAGACTGTTTTGTATATGTTAAGGTGTGTTTTCTTTCAGCCCCTTTAAAATGTGTCACTCAGCATTTCTTCGTTCTCTACAGGTTTATTAAGGGTCTTCCTGTTAACTGTGCTCCTCTTTCTGAAGAGCTGAAACAGATTGGTCTCGAGCCCATACCAAAGGGAATAAGTTACATCATTAGTACTAAGGTACAAACAGTACTTACACACAGATGTAATTACTCTGTAACTCAGTTCTATTATTGGCTTACCTTAAACAGCAACTGAAAATCAGTGTTAATCTGGTTGTGTGTCTACCTTAAGGCTGCACAAAATACAGTAGGATGTGATGTGTCAGTAGTCCAGTTGCATGACACATTTTGACTTATGTCTCCATTTCCTTTTGCATGCTCTTACATAACAGTGTGTTGCCATACTTCAGTTGAATTTTGTTGCAGATATTGTGGTATACAGTAGTTCCTCTGCTTCAGTCAGTCCAGGTCTTTGACGTTTGAATATTTTATTACGGTCCCATTTAATTGTGTATAGATGTTATTAGCACAAGTTTTTAAATTACTGTTGTTGTTGTGTTTTTTTTTTTTTTTTTTACAACTCAAGTGACTTTATGTTTCCTTGTGTTGTTTTGAAGGCTGGACCAGGACCTTGTGTTGTGGATGATCCCACTCAGCATCTGCTTGGCACTGATGGGTGGCCTAAGAAAACAGAGTGACACCCTATAGCCCTAAACAGACAAAGCTCCACTGAGTAATAAGGAAACCAGTTTAGCAAAGATCAGATTTGCCTGTGTCATCTCTAAATAGGTTTTTACCAACCACACATCATTCTCATTGTTTCTCAAACTGTCCGCCAGTCTTCATATTACACTGTGTTCTTGTTTATTTTTGCACAGCTCCTCTCATTTCTCAGCACATAGCAGCAGACATTGTTTTAGATTTGAGGAGTTCACTCATGGACTCGTGTGTGCTGACAGATACATAGTGCCAGCACTGACAGTGTGCTCTTGAGCAATGAAGCATAAAAGCCTTTCACCACTGTAGCTGTCTCGATGCTCTGGCCTATTTGAGCAAGGTACCTGTGGTTGGAGGCTTTGAATTTATGCAAGTGTCCATATTTTTAAGGACGTTGTAATAATTATTTTAAATGTTCACTTTCATGTTGTGAATACATACAGAATATATTTTAGTGATTCTCATATTCTGTAAAACTGAATAAAGTATAAGTCAATAGAAATGATGATGCCTCTTGTTTTGTGGCCAGTTATTGAAAAAATAACACTCTAGTGTAGTCTTTTTTTCAGACGTGCAGTTGATGGTATAAACAATGGAACTAATATGGTGTACTGTATTTACCCTGATTTGTAGGTTGAAATTAATTTTATGACATATTTATAGGAAATAAAAAAGTCTCTTAGCTGAATCTGCTTTGAAAAACCACCCAGGAAAGTTCACTTATGATAAAACAGGGTGCGTTTGAAAGATTTCACACTTACCGGAAAGATTCATTGTCTGTTTATTGTTTTACCTTTCTGGTTAAATACGCCCAGTGCCAATGTTCTTATTGTTTTATCTTTCGGTTAAATACGCCCAGTGCCAATGTTCTTACTCACGGACTTTAACTCAGTGAGCGCGCAGGGCGGTCCCACTGTGAGATCGTAAAGTGCCTGTGCGCGCTCTCGCCTTCAGTTTGATCCCCTTATGCTCACTTTCCGTAAATCGGGATTTCTGCAGACAAGTGTAAAAAAGGGTAAACAAATGCCATAAAACGGAGATAAGAAAAATAAAGAAGACGAACATTTATTCTTATGTTAACTGATGTTAATCCAGTGAATGTTCCTTTGGACAAAAGCATTTCCCAAATGCTGTAACTTAAACATCCTATATTACGTACCTATTTAATTTATCAATCATTTATTTATTATTTATTATTTTTTTGCTCAATGATGCCGTTTTGACAGAAACATATTTAATAAGGTAGCTAAATGAGCTTGGTCCCTGATGTTGCCGCGCACTTTTAGGAGATGATGACTGAAATGGGGACTGGCCAACCTTTAGCCCTGCCTCCCAGCCTGCATATCTACACACCCAACTTTTCTTAAATACTTTCTTTTTCTTTCTCAAACAAACAGTCGACGTTGTGGTGTCGTGTGTGTTTAGCTGAGCGCGATGGGGAAAATCGAGTGGGCGATGTGGGCCAATGAGCAGGCTTTGGCTTCGGGGCTCAGTGAGTACAAAACTGTCTGGGGATGGGAAAGAAAGGTTCAGTTCATTTCTATCAGCAGTTCAATTGGAACTAGTTATATATATGTTTTAGCTGCCTTCTCCGGTGTGTTTACAGAGGAGATGCCACTCATTGATTTTATAACATAAAAATGAAATCGTATGTAAATTCAGTTTTGTTTTGTTTTTTTTAAATAAGAAATTAAGCTCGTTTCAAAATCAAGTCAGTGCACAATTTTATACGGGCTTATCATTTTGCGCAGAGTCAGAAAAAGTGTATGGTTTAAGTTTTTATTTGATCTTCCTGTTCCCTTCTTTCAGTTCTCCTTGCTGGAGGCATCGTGGGGGTGGCTGGGCAGTTCAGAGGCTGGCAGTTTGCTGCTTATTCAATGTATCTTTTGTACTTTTCATAAACCAAAATGATAGTTCAATCTAAACGAGAGATGCTTTAAAGTTGTCCCTTTGGAAAATCTCTTTTCCAGAGATCTGCTGTCTGCTGTGCAGAAGAAATTGCACATATATATATATTTTTTGTCTTGCCCCTTTTTAGCTTTTAAATGACAGCCTTTAAGTACTATAGCATGCTGCGTCACAAGCCTAAAAGTAGCAAGTGGCAGGTTACCAGTGAAATCTGGCCTTATATTCAATCATATTATGGCTTGAACTAATATATAATAAGCATCCCTCATGTCTGTCTCTTTTTAGGTACAGTGATATGTCTACAGTGGTGAAAATACAGCCACTGCATTCTTGCCATATTCTGTTATAATAGAAACAATCAGTCCTTTCATCCATTTTTTCTTTGCCTGTTCCACCCATTCAGGGAAACTAATTTCTCTTTCAATTCACTTTGATGTCCTGTCAGAGTTATTATGTGACTTAGACGGTCCTGTAATATGAAGCAACCTTGACACATAACTAGCGCAGCTGGAGTGTTTGTGTGTATGCTTGAGTATCCCAGAAGCAAGAGGTCCAAGGGCACGAGTGTGGGAAGAACGTAAGTGATGGTGTATAATTTAATGTTTTTGTAGCTTATGGTCTGTAAAACCAGCTCTGTGATGACTGCCAGTAAGGCTTACTGTCCACGCCTGTCTCTTGTTTGTTACAGAGGCCAGTACTGCTTCACTGTGTGTGTAAAAGCCTTCGGGCCGGTGACAAGGAACTACTATGTCAGAGCATTTTTGCATGCTGCGTGAGTTCACTATATCAACAGTGTCATTTTTCAGACAGCATTCCTCTCATTCTCAGTCAGAATTTTAAAATCTCACTGTCTTTCTTAGGATCTGTGTACCTGGAGGATTTTTGCTTGCTACAGTCCTTGGATGTGTCTGCCTCGGTATTGCCAGCCTCATTTACCTTGTGGTAAGTAGGTAGCTTTTGCCACATTAATCTAGCAGGTTAAACACTGTCAATTTGATAAAGCTGTTGGCCAAAGCAGGAACTGGCCAGTTAATAGAACAAGGAAATGGTAACAAGGAAGAAACTGTTTCATTACTGGCATCTCTGTTGAAACATGGTAGTTTTGAAATCCAGTCAGAGGTGTGACAGGACTTTTTCAACAGGCCTAAATTTGGCAGCCAAAGTTATACAGCATTTCAGGCTACACACTTTATCTAACCATAATGATGAGTGTACAAGAAAAGAGCCACTGTTGATCATCTTTATTGCTGTTAGGGGTTGAACTTACTGTCACTCGTGGTTAATTGAGCTACTGACATGTATTCCGTGTCATCTTCTTGCTTATCTAGGCTGCTATCCGAGGCGAACACTGGGAGCCCATTCTTCCAGTGAAGGAGGCTCGGAAGCCAGTTGCAGAAAGCATGAAGGCTCCTCCTCAGAATCCACCTCCACGACCTCCTCCAGAGATGCGAAGGAAACGGGTAGATGACCTTGAGAGCGCAGCATATGACAACCCTATCCCTGTTACTGCCAACGAGTAAACAGTCCAACGCCCCATCCTCTGAACGGCCTTACCTGCCTGCCTGCGATCTTGTGTACAGTTAATCCTATGAAAATCAGTCACAGGGAGACATCACCAGATTCTGGAAAAAATGACCAGTTTTCTAGTGAAGCTATTGACTGGACAACATGTTGGGTCCACGCCTTCATACTCCAAGCTACAGAGAAATACCTTGGAAGGGGAGAACATATATCTTAACAAGAACCAAGAACGTACAGTAGGATGGTTAAAGTGATTTGCCTTTGAACAAAATAATATGTCAAGGAAGATAAATGTAAATGCTATAGCTGCTATTGTCAAGTCATAAAAATTGCACATTTGTATTTTTACTGCTGTGATAAAAGTGCAAACCCGTACCTGTTTTCTGCTCTGACCACCATACATTTTAAAGGGTGTTGTATCTCTTGTGTTGTGTTTCCACCATAGAGTGTACAATATATTGTATGTACTGTACTTATACACTATGTATTTATGTATTTCCTGAAGCCAACTGATCACAACACTGTAGGACTATATGGCACTGTTTTCTAGAATTAAATTGATATTATCAATGTATTAATATTTTTTCTGTACTCTGATGTCTTGTAAATAAATTATCTGTGCTACATGAGCCATTATCTGTCTTACATTAGTGTTTTCATATGTCTTTACTTTCAAGTTCCCTTTGGGAATTTATTTTAAGTAATGACATTTGCAATTCCCCCCTTTCACAATACTTTAGGATTTCCCCTCAGAATGTGTTCTTTGTCTCATGGAGTTTGTAACCTTGCCGACCATTCAAAGATTACAACATCTGGCTTAACTGCTACTGTAGTTGTCAGACAAATTTTACATTTTAATGTTTCTTTTCTCTGACCTTTTAAGCATCTACATTTTAATGTTGTTTCTTTTCTCTGACCTTTTAAGCATCTGTGGAAACCACAGAGGTAGGTACTTCCTCATTTTAGCTTGTGGGGCAGTAACATGAAACACACCATGTATTGTATACATGCATGCATCTTATGGATAAGTTAAATTCCTGTTGTGTGTTTTGTTAGGTAATTTTACCAACCAACACCATCTGTTGTACTTCTAAACAGTTTATTTCCCATCTTATGTTCATAACATTGGTCTTAAATGGTCTTATACTTGTATAGCGCCTTTCTATGCTTTTTACAGAACACTCAAAGCGCTTTCACACATTATTCGGCCATTCACCCATTCGCACTCCCAAGCACTCACACACCGGTGACATCACCGGGAGCAACTGGGGGTTCAGTGTCTTGCTCGACATGTTGACTAGACAAGCCGGGAATCGAACCGCTAATCCTCCGGTTAGGAAACGACCCGCTCTACCTCCTGAGCCACAGCCGCCCCCAACATTAAGAATTATTGAAAACAAGTTAATGCTGCCACCTGCTGCATGAAAGAACTACTAACATCTTGGGAACAGTATTGCATGTTGCATTATGTTTTTAATGTAACTTGAGTCGAGGGGATGAAGGGCACAAGGTTATCTTTAGTTTTTTGGAGGATATCGGCGTTAGCAAGATAATTTAGTATAAGTAGGCTATTGTGGTGAGTTGGTATAGCAATAACATGTTGTAGCCATTCTGTTCCACACTCCAGTCCAGAAGGTGGCGCGAATAAACAAAAAGTTGTTTGGCAACCGACATTGAACAACAAAAGAAGAAGAAGTACCACTGACTCTTCTTCATTGGTCAGCTGTGTCTCAGCTAACTAAAAACTCTTTTAATCGCGGATATTGAAGTGTAAGTGTTCTGTCAGCAGGTTGCCATGTCTACACGGGCCCTGCGAAGGCTCAAGGGGAAACAGCGGGGTCAGGAGGGCTTGGACCTCGGGGATTTAACTTGGGGTGACAGTCCGGAGGAGCAGCCGGACATGGCTAATGTTTCTCCCCCGTCTAGCATGAAAGGCAACAATCGGAAGGCAAAGAAAAACCAAGCTCAGAAGAACTTTAGCAATATCTATGAACTGGTAAGGTGCCGGCGCATTCTCCGCCTATTACCTACTTTCAGCATAGCGTCGATAATCAATGTTTCTTCCTGGTAAATGGTTACAGCAGTGTTTATGTTATTAAACCTTGCTAACACAGACAGACTAGCTGTGTTAGCATTGACATTAACTCATTTCTCGTCTCATTTAGCCCTGCTGTTTTTCCTCAGATACATTATAGTATATCTTGGGTTAAGGTTTGCTAACAAGGTGTTTGTCATATTAGAAAATGACCGGGAATCAGTCTAATACTAAAGCACAAATCTTAAAAAAAAAAATTGACCAAGTCTAACTAGTTATTCTATACCACAATGTGCTCTAATCTTAAATTATATTCTTAAAAATTACACAAAATGGAGACATATAACGCTAGCAGTTTGTAAACTATGCAACTTACAGCTGCAGTTTGTGAAAAGTTCCTCTATGTTTGGTAAAGACCATTTTGGACAGGTGTGGATGTGAACGTTCAAAACTAATAAAGTCAGTGTGATTGTGGATTATATCATGCAGCAGCAGTTGCTTTGGATTTGTTGTTGCACTGATGTGATTTCAGGAAAATATATTTTTGTTTTTACACTTTTATTAGATATGTGATGCAGACAATGAGGCAGAGAAAATTTCACCTGATGAAGGGGCAGAGAAACCAGATCTAAATAAATCAAGTGACTTGGATAAGAATGACGACCGAGCCACTGAGAAACCAGATCAAAGGCAAGAGCAACCATCTACAAAGGTAAAATACAGTGACAAGGCTGCTTTGCTGTGATCCTTTGACTTAAGTATTCTGCTTATTTAAATGCCCCCCCCCCTCTTTTTCTTTAGCAGTCTTTGTCTGGAGACAGAGTTAAAAAGAAGAAGAAAAAGAAGAAAGCAAAGGCCATGTCAGAGGATGGGCAGGTACATTAGGAAGAGATTCTGTATGGCATAGCAATACAACAGTATACTATGTTTTTATTAATACAATCACTTTACTGATAGGAACAGTCTTTTATCATCATTCTTCAAATCCAAAGTACTCACATAATATACAAACCTGTAGCTCCTTTTGGCAGTTGAACAAGAAGTGCATGTTGTCTAAATTAATTCATTTTGAGTTTTTTCTTTTATAACTTTTCTCTCTGGTTTAAGGAGACTGTGCCAGATGATAACATTGATTTATTGCTGGAGAACCTGGAGCAGCCCAATGGTCTGAGTTTGCAAAATGAGGATTGCAGCAGCTCTGACAGAAAATCTGTGCTATATGTGGAGCACAGGTGGGGAGCCTAATCTCTCACAGACATTAAGTTCAGGTTGATTTTTTTCATATATCTGTACATTTACAGGTGTACAGCTCTGGTTTCTAGGGTGCTGCATTAATTTGATCTCTGTGGCTATTTTGTTAAAATTTAGCTGTTACATGACTCAAAAGAAACACAATTATACCTGCATTTGTTTATTGCAGTTATACTTGCACTAGCTCTTGACCAGTGCAGAGCTCATTTAAAAAATACTCAGCTACTAAAATATACCGTACATTTCTGTTGATTTCTAATTGTCACCATGTGGTGGCACATGACTCATACAAGAAAAGTAAAACAAATAGTGATGGCAGAAATGGCTGTTTCATTTAGGTGTCAAGGTGTGTTTATTACAAAGCATATGGTGTCATGCTGATGAGATAGATGTGCCCAGTATGTGCTAACTCTAGGCAGCAATCATGTCATCAGTGGAGTGTCTAGCAAGTGATTATTGCTTATATGTACATTTCATACAACATCAATGGAAACCTTATTTGTCACTGTTCTTTGACAAAAGACACTCTCAGACAAGTAGAAGTTGATTTTGCTAACATCGAAATTGTCAAAAGAAGTTGTACAGAGTTTTGCTGTGGTTTGCACACTGACAATCACTAGTTATGATGCTTGGAGGCAAGGCCCAACTCGTAATGATGACTTATTTATGTATACATAAAGGTTACCAACCTGTCAGCATCGCCTCTTGAAGGTCACAGGAAATAATATCAGAAATGTGCAGTTTCTTTATATTTGTGTTGCAGTATGTAGAGTAGACACACACTGATGTGTCTAAAATATCTCAATTAAACAGGCCCTGTTTCTCCTTTGAAATGTATTTTTCAGCTGATCTTCATCTTGTCATTTCTGTGTATTATTTCATTAGAAATCTCAACCCAGAGACAGAGCTGAAGAGATATTTTGGGGCTCGAGCTGTTCTAGGGGATCAAAGGTAAAATGTTCGGCACACAGCCTCTGTATGTGTACAGTTTACTCTTGTGCTCATTGTTTTTTTGGTTTTTTTTGACAGACCTCGACAGAGAAACAGACAGTTTCACCGCAGCACCTGGATGACCAGTCCCAAGGATAGCTGGCCTCGCTTCAGCCGTCCAGGTAGACTTTTGCTTACAGTCTTCTGAATTCCTTTATTTTTAAAGGAGTGTTTTGCATAGAGAAACTTGTTAGTCTAGGGTGTGATCACCATCTAACAGACAAGCCTTATGTCGCTTTCTAGGAAAGAGGAAATACAGATTATCCAATGGCTGAAACTGTCTGCTTAAAAACTGTTCTTTGTTCATTATAGTGAGCTGTTTAGTTATGAATCTATAAAAGCTTTTTTAAATCAAATATATATTCTGCTTTAATTGTATGTAATTCAAATTAACAAGTGCATAAACAGCCCTAAACACTTGTAGATGGTTGATACATTGTAGTCAGAAGGAAGGACAGCAGGAAACAAGGAAGCAGTGATTTATCAATTGTGGGAAGCCTAAACCTCTTTAGTGGCAGTAGATATTCTTAGACTTAGCCAAGGTAACGTAGTATGAATATTGCTTTTGTTCTGCTGATGTCATCATAAAGACTGTCTCATTGTGTTCACACTAAAAGTCGCTATTGATGTATCGTGTAATTTTGATGTTAGCTATCTCTGCTATGTTTGGATATATGTTTTTCGTCCAACCTCACCGATGTTGACTTTGTGGGGTTGGAAGACACAGGTTTAGCAGTACACAAAATTGTTTCAGACATGTGCTTACTTCCTCAGACTGTTCCTACATAGTAAAAAATGTAAAAAATATTTTGTTTGTTGTTTGAATTTCTGATAAGACTCTGTTGACACTATTGACGTCACCACTACTAACAGTTCCATATTGATGTAACACTGTTTCACCACCAATAAAATCTAGGATGTCTCTGTGATTAAGTTTGTTGTTTGACTATGGAACAAGCCGTGACTTACAGTTTTTGTTGTTGTTGTTTTTGAGGAAGTGTTTGGTAGATACAAAATCCTGACAGCAAACAAATAGTCCTGGGCAGTTATATTTTGTTCTATAAATAAAGTTTGTTGAGCACTGCAGGTAAACAAAATGTTAGTGAAGTACTGCATATTTATCTTGCATTGTGTCTTTGTTTTTGTGTTATACTGTACTTAACTCTCACATAACATCTCCTCAGGAATCTCGATGACTTTACTTGAGTCAAAGGACGGCATTCAGTACTTCACCTTTGAGCATAGTCGGGACTACCAACAAGCACAGTTCAAGTTCCTGGATGCGGTCGAATCCATGGATCCCAACAACATTCTGGTAAAAAAAAAAAATTTCATCATCTGCTGTGCACGTCAGTGTTTGAGTTTATCTGTTCATTTCAAATCAGGAATCGTCAGTATTGCTCTTGCCAGGGAATCATAAAATGATCACTCATCCAGAGTTGTAGAGTGGGCTGAGTGATACTGGTTTGCAAAAAATGGCTGTATAACATTGCATATCAGTATCCATAAACAGATGACTTCTGCAGTTACGTAATATATACTCAGTCTTTGATACAGAGTCAAACAAGACTCTGTACAATATGTGCTGTGTACAGAATACAGCAATGAAGTATTGTTTGTGAATATGCTGCCCTGAAACTGTGTTTTGGCAAACTAACCTGACAGAGAACATGTGAAAAAAATATTAGACCCCATGTGACTGTGGGTGGTGGATTGTATTACCAACTTTTTTAAATTATCCAGGAGTTTGCATTTCAATATGCACATTGATGCGGGTAACAGCTACAACCCAGGCCAGTGGCAGTTTGTCTGCATGTGCAGGTAAACATGATGACAAATGTACAGTTGCAGAGTGTAGCCACATGATCAGTGATGCATTTTATTTAAAATGTCCCCTGTGTCTGTAATCCAACATCTTCTGTTGAGTGTTTTCTCTATTCTGATGTTATGTTTTTGTACAGTATATCTCTGTCAACTTGACCATTGCTGCTTCTCGTTTTTTTTTTCCTTCTCCAGGCCTTGTTACAGCTTAACCCATACCACATCGATTCCCTGCTGCAGTTCTCTGAAATCTGCCGAATGCAGGAGGATCAGGAGATGGCCAGGGACCTCATTGGTGAGAGTCACAGGCTTCTGAAATCAGTGTAGACCTATGATGATACTGTGAAAACAGGTTTTTAGAAGTTTTTGTTAATGTATTAAATCTCTCATTTACAAAAGAATTCAGACACCCCTTTGACAGTAATTACAGCTTCATGTTTTCTTGGTGTAGTTTCTACATCCTAAATACAGGCAGTTTATACCATTTTTCATAGCACATTGCCTGAGGTTCAGTCAGATTGGATGGGAAGTATTGGTGAACTCCATCTTCCACAAATGTTTTTTATGTTCTTTTAGGTTATATTTGTGATGTTGTGTGTATGCGGGTATGAATAAAAGCTATAACTACTAATCTTTTCCCCCCCAGAGAGGGCCTTGTACAGCTTTGAGTGTGCTTTTCACCCATTATTCAGTTTGACGTCGGGTACCAGCAGACTTGATTATCTGAGACCAGAGAACAGGTTGGTTCTTACTTTTTCCTCCTCTTCTGGTTTTGTGAGACTTCAGTTGGAACTTAATTGAATTTAATGATTCAATCATCTTGGTTTGCAGGGCATTTTATCTAGCTCTTTATAAGCACATGATGTTCCTGGAGAAGAGAGGATGCCCACGGACAGCTTTGGAGTACTGCAAACTGATCCTGAGGTACAATGGGAAAGGCAGAAGCTATGTAATTGAAACTGTAATGTGACTAATAACAGAATCTTAAAAATCACTGTTTGAAGATGCATTGCTGTTTATTTCACACAAAATTGGAAGTATTTGAAATTCAGATGAATGTTAGCAGTAACTAGAAGTGCTTTAAAAGCACCAAGCAATGTTTTAAAAAAGTTGAGACCTTTTATGTTTTAGGTGTGGGATGAGACTGTAAATGTACTTGGATTCAGATATTTGGGCCTGTTTTTTGGTCAAGTGCTTGTCATAGTAATTGGCCTTGTGGTCTTGTCTGCTGTTGTTTTATTAGTTTGGACCCAGACTCTGATCCATTTTGCATGCTCCTACTCATTGATTACTTGATGCTGCGTTCCAGAGAGTACCAGTCTCTCCTCCAGTTATATCAGGACTGGGAGGTAAAGTGCACCATCATATGCGTATGTTTTGGATTTAAGTGTGACTTTAAGTTGAGCCTCAAAGTCATCTTTGCAGTCTGATACAGATATGCGTTGTTTTGTTTCAGGAGCACAGAAATTTGTCTCAGCTGCCAAACTTTGCTTTCTCCGCTGCACTTTGCTGTTTCCATCTCAGTCAGCAAGAAGATGTGGATCCTGAGGAAAGTGACAGACAAAGACACAAAGCTGATCAGATGCTGCAAAATTGTCTGATCATGTTCCCTGGAGGTGAGACAGTCAGAGAGACCCCAGTACCAGCATGGGAATATTTACTGTGGATATGATTACCCTTCTGTGACTTCTTGGTATGGGTTTCTTGCTGTTCACATTTAGGAACCTATTCATTTGTATTTTCATGCTGTAAATGTGTTTTCTGCAGTGTTGATGCCTCTACTAGATCTGTGCACTGTGCAGCCAGATGCCACAGTCACCTCACATGCCTTCTTTGGCCCAAAGAGTCAGACAGGGTAATGTACTTTATGCTCCCTTTGTTATATGCATAATCCTGCATTTATTGCCATGAAAAGGAGCTCTACTGAAAAAAATGTAACATGGTGTTATATCAGTTAATATTGTATAGCCATATATCTATAACAAATGTATTGTGCTATTGCTATAAACGTTTTCCTGGCCATAATTTTTGTTATCATTTTGTATCAGTGTTGCTTTTCTGTCATGTTTTAATCTACAGCTTCTGTCCTAACTTTAGTTATCCTACCTTTTCTGTCTCTAGGCAGCCCCCAGCCCTGGTTGAACTGACAGCACTATATGTGGGGAGGACTTATAGCTTGTGGAGGGAGGCAGCAGTGATGCTTTGGTTGGAGGAGTCTGTCAAGGAAGTGCTGCGTCGAGTTGATGCCAAAGACCCTGTAGTGGAGGACTGCCAAAACAAGTAAGATCTCTGTGATCAGCTCTGCTGCCATAAGTCACATTGCCAAGCCTTTTTCTTTTTTTAACAGTAGACACATCCATTGATGACAAGGAAAAGGAAACTAAAAAAATCATGCTAACTTATGAAGTAATTATGCATTAGGAGAAACCTTAAATATGATGGGAATTTGTCACTCACTGAACAACGTCTCACACCATACTTTAGATGATTGTTCTCTAAGCCTTTATCTTCATCACTCTGTTCCAGGAGGAAGCAGAGGTACCAGAGCGCACCAAGGAATATCCATCGGCACGTTCTACTCTCTGAGATCAAGGAAGCCACCTCAAGTCTGCCTCTAGTAAGAAACAATGAGCAACCACTCTATAACGTAACAACACTGTATCCTCACTGTTTTTTTAATCCACTCACCAATAGATAGCAGATGAGTTGTGAGCATCTATAGGGATTTAAAGATTTCAGTATTAATGGTGTCTTCAGGTTAATCAATATTTTGTCAGCTATTTTTCTAAGTCTTCCATAATTCTGCAAACAGTGCAATTAAAAACATATGATTGTTGGCATAGCAAGCTGGTGGCCCAAATCTTTGAACTCATGCGTGCCTGAGGAAATGACTATTCTTGGTAATTTGTCTGGTATTCTCAGGAGGTAACCACTCAGCCTATGATGAGCTTTGACCCTTTGCCTCCACTGGATTCAGTGATATCATATACACGGCCAGAAAGGTGATGCAGGACCCTTACATCTGTGCACAATCTTATGGTTTACAAACCAACTGGAATTATCTATTCAATTTATTTGCACACTTTAATGAGATGTTTGCTTTTGTGCCTGCATATAGGCAGCATGTCGGTGCATCCAGTGAGAGTTCATTCTCATTGTTTTTCCGGTCTTTACTGCCAAACTTCAACCTTCAGGTGAGTTGAATGGATGAAGTGAAATAGCACTGGAAAAAATGAATTGATTATGGGTTGTGTAATAAAAATATTTAAAAACTCAAGGTTCAAATAGACCCTAACATTTATTTTGCATATTTGTGAATTTGCACAAGTCTCTCCTCAACCTGAAGAGCAAACAGAAATGATGTAATCTGAAGACAAATCCCGTTGTTGCCATATACTGAATAATAGAAAATCATCCGAGAACACTAATAAAGAATGCATGGTGTGCATGTGGGGACATCATATAATTAATAGCTATAAGCTATAAGCCCTATGTTCGAATAAAACTCACTTGTCTCTAACAGATTGCGTAAGTTCAGAGTCACTATGAACTGACCTGCTGCTAAGCATGTAAACTTTATGCTTTGACTTCCTGCAACTGTTTTTGAGTTTACTGTCTAAAATCAGCGAGGGATCCAATACAAATTGTGTTTTTCAGGTTAGGCTTTCAGTTTGAGGATTACAAAAATAACACAGTTAGGCCATTTAGTAGCAGGACCCTCCAGGGCTGGTGGAAGCATCTGAACTGGTGAAACATCCTAAAACATCCGTAACTGATGGAATACTTCCTCCAAACACTGGGGGTTGCCCTAAGGGAAAGGCGGCTGAAAATATCAAAGAAGGCATATGATCTTGTTAAAGTTATTTCTGTCCACCATTTCCAATTATGTCACTGAAGAATAAAACAATGGCATCATTCATGAAGCACAAAGTTGTTTGAGGCCTTGGCTTTGCTGTCTCTTTCCTTATAGTAATGTTTGTTGCTTGTATTGATTTACAGGGCCAAGTTGTGGAGCAAAGTTGACTGTGTGACATTTTGTCAATCTTGTTGAACTCATTCCATTGTGCTGCCTTTTCAACCATTCCTACAATAACAAGGCTGAATTTTGAGTTGCAGTACTGCTACAATATGCACCCAGCCCCTACAGCCTATACTTCATTTGGGAATGGTTTTAAAAAAAAAAAAAATGTAACAGCATCATCATCTGTGGCTTCGAGTGTCTCCCCTCCTGGACTCATGTGGAGCACTTGGGAAATTTTACAGCACTTGTCCATTTTGTCCACAGCAACAAATGACCATTTGCTCTTTCAGCTCATATGCTGAACACCATTGTCTTACCACTTATTTCCCTCAGAGTGGACTGTAGTTTGGCTGGGACTGTGTGAGAGGGGACAAATTTAAAAAAGGAACAAATGGCAACAAACACATTTAGATGCAGTGCAGGATGGTGAGAAGTAGAGTGATCATTTTCAAGTTAAGTGATGGCTTTGTTTCATTTAGTTTGTTACAAAAACATCACTTACAGTATAGACTGCACTATAGTAGTACTATACCTACAGTAACAATAGTATTGCTGGCATTTGACTAAGCTTTGCTTAGGTATGTTGTATATCATGTACACCCACACACAACATCTTGTGGCTCAGCTCAACGTGCTCAATGTTAACAGATGGGCCTGAGGCACATTTCCATCAGGACAGTTCTAGCCATCCTAATCATGCTGTGCACTAATGGAGAGTAAGAGATACAATATGGATAAAAGAAATGTAGTAAAGACTAGGGAAGATGTGCCATCAAGTTACCCAGTTATGTGCCTGAGTATGTTATGTAACAACCCGAGGTGACCCTGATGTCTGTTTCATTCAACACACATTAAATGTTCATATTATTTAAGCATCATTAAAGTATGTTGTGCTGTAATTTGCATTTTCTTATGTAGCTATCAAATGGGATCATTTAGTGTCAATAACTTACTAAAGAAAAAAAAAAAAACATGGACAAATCCTGTCCTTCAACACCGTCAAGTGCTTCTGGTGAGGGAGACTGAAACCATGGTGGCTATAGCAGGATGTTCTTATAATTCACTTAATAAATTATAAGATGTATGAAAATATGCCAATGGCTGTTTTACATATGAAACATGGCCTGCAACACTAATAAGAGTTCAAGGGGTAAGAATGTGACACATCCAATGATGTTAAAGCAGGAAAAAGTGCCTGTATGAAAATAGTAACACTGAAATGGTTTAGAGTGAAGGTATTTGTATTGCATATCCATCTGTCACTTCTCTTGTTCAGGGTGGACCGAGGCAGGTGGATGACATGGAAGTGGCTCGAGCTGGTCAGGAGCTGAACCAGGAAGTGAATCGTCTAATGGTGGCCATGAGAGACATGCTGGCAAACATCAGGTTTCAAGAGCCACCGAGAGAGGACAACCCGTACAGAGATGAAGAGGAATGGGACTGAGAGAGGAGGGAAACAAAGGTGCAATAATGAGTAGGATGAAAAGGAATCAATAGACAAACTTTTAAAAATGAATTACATTAAAAATATACATATTTAATTGTGTATATAAGAAGAGAGGAGTGTGACAACAGGATAGTTGTTTTTTTTTATTATTGTCACTATCAGAATATTAAAGTGAAAGGAGGAGATGACTTGGTGTCATCATCTTGTCGGCTTCTCTGCTTTAGTGACAGTGATTTAAAAGCAATACTCTGGGGCAATGCAGACACCTGCCAACAAGAGCGATCTTATAATGAAACATTGACAGTTCCGACAACTCCATCCATTGTCAGCTCAACTGTACCAACACACAACAACACACTCTTCCTCTAGTTTCTGATTTTCTCAGAATTTTTCATGTACACAAACAGTCATGTGGAATGGATATTTTGTATCACAGATTTTACATTTTGCTTGGCACTACAGAATCAGAAAGAGTTTTTGTTCTCATTGACTTGAGCCAACAGCCTGTGTCACTAAAAACCCACTTGTGAAATCAGATCAGCATATAGAAGTAAGTCCATGTTGACTTACAATGGCTTAAACATGCACATGTGAAAGCTGGAGGTTAATAAATCCTGTTGAACACACCTTTTGCTTGACTTGATTGTGGACAAATTGATTGGCTTAATTTGGCACAAATCAGTTTCATAAAACTGTTTTAAATATTGGCCTGTTTTAAGAAGTGTGAGGTTTAGAAGCACACATTCACTAAGTCTTGCAACTTCCCATAGATCTTCTCTATTTAATAGACTCTGACTGATAGTTAATGCATGGCCTGCTCCTGAGACAGAAACAATCAGGTGGGAGGAGAAAGCATGAATTTTTTCAGAGAAGCATTTTTCAACTGATGATTACTCCATGATTACAGTTATAGAACAGTAATCATCTCTGATTTGATACAAATGAATTGTCAAGTACAGAAAACTGTTTCAAAAGTAAAAATATGTGTTTATCTCTGTATTACTCAGTCTTTGTGATAATTTACTAAACATATTTCCAAATGAAGGCAAAGAATATTAGGTAAGCAGGCAGTCATATTATTCCATTGATAAAGACAATGCAATGAATTGCATCAGAGTATTTTAGAAAAGTTTCTGGCAAATAATCACAAATAAATCTTAGTGAGATTCTGCTCAAACTGGCCATTTGCTTCTGTTGTAAATGCATCCAGATATCAGTGGATGGCTTAGCAGATGCCTTAGTGGGCATCTCATTCTGTAGCCTTTTTATGATCAATTCAGATTTTCTTTTCTATAAACATTATTTATTTTGTCTTCTGCTCATTTACTTTGTATTTAATCCAAACTATTGACATGCTGGGAAATTTTTCTTTAGTCTAAACCAAACAGAAATGCTTTGGTTAAATTTTTTTTTTATCTGTCACAATATAATTTAATTGGAAAAGTGCAGTCTGAGAATCAGATCACATTTTCTTGGGCCTCCAGTATCATTACTGCAGGATGTCTGCTGTTTCTCTGCTCTTTGATTCTTGTTCCAGTTTGAGTTGTGGATTTCTCCTCTCAATAAAACATTACAGAGAATTGGCTGGGTGTTTTCCAGAAGTCTGTTGCTAGCCATCAATTTATATCCAGTGCAAAAGACTGGCAGATATTTTCTGAATTTTGCCTGAATTGATTTTAATAATTTCGTTGCACTTTCAGGCAGATACTCATGACCTCACTTGATGGCTGATTTACTGCACTTACAGCCTGAGACTAACTGTACTTCTGGCAACACACCAACTAGATAGTTAATTCAGTCTTAAATCACTTATTTGTCATCATTCTCCAAGTGCTTTACTTGTGTTTGTGTCTGGAGTATGATGCTAAGATGTGTCTGCCAGAAAATCTGTCTTATGATGTGTGCGTTTTGTGTTCCTGTCAAATCTCAGACAAATAGTCCCATAGTACCAGTGAAGCCCTTAGTTTTATGCATCTCTTTCTGTGATCCAGTCCTTTAATATGCTTTAACCTCCAGGTTGGATTCATCAGGAGGCTGCGGATACAGGATATGGACATGCACCAACAAGTGTGTAGATAAGCAGTGATCAAGAAGAGGATTGACAAATGAAGTGGTGAGAATATTGTGCATGGTACGTAAAAGTGTTTGAGCAGGACGAACTGTTGATTTTCATTAATATAATTAAACCCAATTTGAAAATGTAATAGCATTCATTCATCACGAACATGTCAGAGGTAAAAAGTGATAAAACAGAACGACTTATGTCAAAACTGCGCATCAGACAGGACTGCGGCCCGGCTGAAGTTTGCGCGAGAGGAGGAGTCGCCTGTAGCCTTTTAGAATTCAGCATCGCTGGGAAATGTTACAGCAACTCAGTCTCCTGTTCCCGAAAACACTTTGTCCTCTAATCAGAACAGTCTGAATTGGGCGGGTCGGATGCACTTTGAGAGTGAAATCCATGAACCGTTTTGAGGGAGAGAGACATTTTATGGAGTTACGTGCTGAACAAGTTGCATCCATTGGAAAGAAGAAGTCTCAAAGTAAGGAGACGCACTTTTCACACAGACGAACACGTCAGCTCTTCAGGACGGATATTTAACTGAAAATATATTGATTGGATCAACAACTGGACCGCTGCTTGAAGGAATCGCTTGCTGAAGCGTCAACCAAACTGATGAAACGTCATTACACAAATTGATGTTGTGTGGCACTAAAACCAACAGGACAGGCAGAAGTCATGACCAACCTGTCCCATCATAATAGCTCTATCCACAGTGTGGAGTTCGGCTGGATTAATGACTTTATGGAGGACAACAGAACAAACTCCACTGCCGGAGAGGGAAACTCTTTAGACTGTGTACAGATCCTCATCCCTCAGGAGCTCTTCCTGACGCTGGGGCTCATCAGCCTGGTGGAGAACATCCTCGTGGTTCTGGCCATTGTCAAGAATCGCAACCTGCACTCGCCCATGTATTACTTCATCTGCTGCCTGGCCGTGTCCGATATGCTGGTCAGTGTCAGCAACGTGGTGGAGACGATGTTCATGCTTCTCCACGACCACGGGCTGCTGGACGTGCACCCAGGCATGCTGCGCCACCTGGACAACGTAATCGACGTGATGATCTGCAGCTCCGTGGTGTCCTCTCTCTCCTTTCTTTGCACCATAGCTGCGGATCGCTACATCACTATCTTTTACGCGCTGCGTTATCACAGCATCATGACCACTCAGCGCGCCGTCGCCATCATAGTGGTGGTGTGGCTGGCCAGCATCACCTCCAGCATCCTCTTCATCCTGTACCACACAGACAACGCTGTCATCGTGTGCCTCGTCACCTTCTTCTGCACCACCCTGGTGTTTAACGCCGTGCTGTATCTGCACATGTTCTTCCTGGCGCACGGGCATTCACGGCGCATCAAGGCTTTCAATAAAGGCAGGAGGCAGTACACGAGCATGAAAGGAGCAATTACCCTCACCATACTGCTCGGGGTCTTTATTTTATGCTGGGGACCTTTCTTTCTCCACCTCATCCTTATGCTCGCCTGCCCCACAAGCCCCTTCTGCAACTGTTTCTTCCGAAACTTTAACCTTTTCCTCATCCTCATCATCTGTAACTCGCTCATTGACCCGCTCATCTATGCCTACAGGAGCCAGGAGCTGCGTAAAACCCTGAAGGAGCTGGTGCTGTGTTCTTGGTTCTTAGGCGTGTGACATCAAGTATATTCAGGAAGAAAATGAATGTAGTCTACAGTGTGTCAGATGATGCCCATGCTCCACACTGCGCAACCACATTTCTGATAAAGACTTTTGTACATTTCTTCGTGGATTTGATGATTACTTCCACGTATTGGTTTTTATTGTTGCATTACACCACTCCATAAACAGGTACCTGCATTTAATCCAGTAAATCTCAACCTGTATTTTCATACATATTAATTGCTCCTTCGGATGATCGAAATATATGATCTGTCTTAACTCTCATTTTAAAAACTTTTGACAACTGTGGTTCAGTGGGTAGAGCAGTCGTCTCCCAACCGGAGGGGCTGAGGTTCCTTGTGTGTAACATACTAAATAAAGGTGATTACAAGTTTGAAAAGGCAAGACAATGCATTGAAAATGTTGCTGTTCTAAGCTTAATTGCTTCCTTTATTAAATAAAAATCGATTTCCCTTTGATATGACTTTGAAGAAAAGATTTTTCATTATACCAGCAGCAAAGCTAATGAGCGACAAAACCTGCTTTCATATGAGAGGCTTTAAAGGTACTGTGATTTGTCACAGAGAAGTGATGACAATACAATATTTTGTTTTAGATGATGTCCAGGTCCTGCTTCATTTTGACGATGACCATTTCCTCCTGATTTAAAATAATTTAATTGTTGATTTAAAATAATTTAATTGTTGACAGAAACCACCTTTTAATGGGAATAATCTCATATAGTTACTGCAGCTTAAACATTATTCAACTATTTATCTGATTTATTGCAAAAGAGGCAGGGAATAGGAATGCGCCCTAAATAAAAAAAACTTAAACACCTGTTGCAGTTTACTTGGAGGCATTGTGTTGGGATTAACCTGACACGCAGGGCACAGGAGGGTGTAGAAGACTTAGCAAAGTTATATCTTTTGTGTGGTTATCTGAAATGTGCAAACTTCACTTACATTATATAAGTCAAACAAGTGAGACACTAGAACTGATGGTCTGTCAAACAATTTTCATAGATGTGTTTTCTTTTTTTTACCCTGCTATACCTATTTGTATTTATAGTAGCTAGCTTAGAAGCAAAGGTCCAGCTAATATGTGAATTATAAGAAAATCCTAACAATTTAAATATATTAAATTGCCCTAAAATGTATAAAACACAAATATGACTTGAAATTTATGGATCTTAGGTACTATTTTATTTGATTTTTATCATCTTATTCATCCTATCCTAATTTTCCTGATCCTAAGGATTTGTTGAAAAGCGGACCTGCAGGCATTATCTGACAGTTCTCCCTTATGAAGTCATACATCTGCATTTGAGCCACAAAGTTCAGGTTGTTTGCTTAATTCAGTGATTGATTTCACAGATAGTTGTTTCCAAATGAAGGGAGAAAGAATCCCAGATCCCATGATCAATAATTAGTAGGTATTATTTGTAATCTTTGAAAATGTTTACATGCTATCTATTTGTCTTATATTAAGGGGTTGAAAAACAAAAGCCTGGGGTACACGGTATTATTATTGGTCACAGTATATTTTGTATAATTTTTTTCTGCCTTATTTCATAATATGTCTGGTTAGCAAGTTGGTTTGGTTATTTAGAGACTGAAGATCCAAATCAAAACCTCCATTCGTCTGCACGCTAAGGTAGGAAGGTAATTTCTCTGTGCACAGTGAGCAAAATGCAGTGTGTCACATCTTTGAACTTAAAACACTTTCAATGTGTACACATTTTTACTGCTTCATAGAAAAAATGTCTGGTACAGCATTTGCTGTCAGTAGACAGAAGGGCCATTGATAATTAACAAAGTAATTCTGGAAAAACTCATGACCAAGTTCATTTGCTGTGCTGTAAACAACAGCATTGAAAGGATTTCCAACTGAAACAAATATAAATCCTCATCCTGTCCTCAAGGAGGAAATTATAAATCTTGATTCTTTTAAGTATACCCAATTCCATGAAATACTAGATATAATTTCGTTCGACCACAAGGGCATTTTGGGAAAAATTAAATAGAATTTTTATCAGCAGTTTTGGATTTTTAAGGAAATATCTAAATTCTTTTTGATAAAAATGTATCTTGCTAACTTTTTTAATTGTTACTCATTACTTACTACATTGTTATGTAATTGTTTGCTTAATGTAGTGGTGCATTCATTTTATAACTATCTTTTCATTAGAGGCATTTGGAACTTTTGAGCATAGCTTTCATTGTTTTAGTGGGTTAAAGCAGGACATGAAACAGGAGACCAAAAATGAATGAAGAGCCCTTCAGTTTGATAAATGGTGACCTCTGTCTAAAAATAATTTCTCAGCCTGACCAAATAATTTCTAGTTGCTGCAGGGAGATCAGATTGTTCAGAAATCTTATTTGCTTTCCTTATCCATCAGTGCTCATGAAATCACATGAAACCATTTTGCATGTTACACATTAGTACCAATCTGTAGTTTACAAGTTTACAAATTTCCATTTTTATCATTAGTGCAGTCAAATCAGCCTGTGAACACAAGATATTGTGGGAACTGGCCACAGGGAGGGAAAGTCCAACACTTTGAAGGTTTTGCTTCACCTGACTGGAAGGTATCTATTATTCCAATTGAGAAGGAAAACGACCGGAGGTAAAGTAAGTTTATTTTCAAAGTAAAAGCACAAAATCACTTCTACATCAGGTAATGTAGCTTAATATACCACATTAAGACAAAAGACAGAAGCATTATTATTTATGTAACGCTTGTGATTAAACGCAACTTGAAAGGGTGTTTTTTTCTACTCTAGTTGCTCGTATTTATTACATTATTGCTACTAGAGGTCACGGTGGTTTTTATTTAGAAAATAAAACCGGAAACATCTTTTAACGAAATATGACTTGACACTTTTTTTGCCCTGTGGTGTTGCTGATGACAAAACAACAACGGGAGAAGTGCTCATATTAAACACAATCGTCGACTATAAAACATATTTTACAACTGCTGGTCCCCTAGTCATAAATAAGGTCAACAGCGGGGTAAGCGTAACCAGATGTGAAATGAGCTAGCATTAGCATCAAAACAGCTGATGATTGGTTTGTTTTGAAAGCTAGTTGTCCTGCTAGCGTTAGCTGGTCGTTAACATGTGTGTGCGGATGTTGATTTGACACATTTATGTTATAATTGTGGTTCATTCTATGCCATAGTCTACATATTTAGCACCAATACCTGAAACATAGTCAAGGTTACCGCTTAAGAGAGGACTGTCAACAGCAGCTCTGATTGGTTACAGTCAGTGATGTGAGGATTCAATGTGCTCCTAGCGTTTCTCAGGCTTTGCATGCAATTTTCATAAAAAGTGAAATAAATCGTCTGTATTTGGTCACCATTAAAATATGACTTCCTCTTCGCAGCTTGGTTAGTGAAAGTGTTGCTGCTTTCCATAGGAATGATATGGTTTTAATTTTAATGCAGTTTTAATTAACATGTATCCTCAAAACACTAGTATAATGTATATAGCATTTTCAATTTCATTTTAATTTAACCTTTTATTATTTAGGCCTGTCAGATTTATTGCATACTGCTTGGCACTGATAACTAGTAAGATCCCAATACTTGCTGTTAGGAATAACAGTCCATGCTTTGGTTTTGCTCTTTAGGCCCATGAAGCAGTTTTTACTTACTGATATGGCAATACTTGAATTGTTTTGGAAATGTTTAACAACAAAAAAAAAGGCATCAGCAAGGATGAAAGAGGCATATCAGCAGTTTTTTTTATATCAAAAATCTGTTTCCTAGTCAAGGGGAGCTTTCCTCTGCCAGCAAAACCAGTCTTTTGTGGCTCTGAAGTAGCTAGGTCAGGTCTAAGAAAATAAGATGTTAGCAGCGGTTTCTTGATTAGGGAGCACACATTTTTTTCTGTGGAATAATGGTTTCTTGATTAGGGATTGGAGCACACATTTTTTTCTGTGGAATAACATGGCAAGTGTTTGACATGATGAAGCTAGAAGGGGGACAACATATACATGATAACATGTAGCCCTGGTTGACTGGCAGGTTTGAATCCAGAACCTTCTTGCTGTGATCTGACAGTGATAACCACTACATCACCCTGCAGTCCACCACTAAAGAGCAGTGCAATTTAACTGGGATCTGAATGGGAACACACTGAGCAATAAGCAGTAACCTTGCAGACACATTAACTTTCTGGCTTCCATTAAATGATGGTCACGGCCCTCCTTTCTATCACTTCATAAATACAAGAGTAGGAAAGTTAACCAACCTCTCAGTGTGACTGGAATGTATCTTGTATTCTTTAGATGTAGTCCATGAAATGGAGTATGATGAGAGACTCGCACTTTTCCGCCAAACCCGCCTCAATCCCTTCGATCGCGGAGAAGAAGATGGTCCCCAGGGAGGCAAGACACCCCTACAGCACGGTAAAGTCTGCTAAAAAGATTTGTTAAACGGTGAAAATAGGGACAAATAATTTTGGATTCATTTAGCCATTTCTGTGATCTGCCCTGAGTAAGATAAAACACTCAGCTTTCCTTGAGTTGTTCACTGTTGGAGTATTATGATAAAGATAAAATATTTTATTAGGCTTTGGTGGAAAAAAGTTGGTAGTAAGCTTACTAATATAAAAATTGTCTTACTAAACAGATGGGTGCTGCACTGGAAGGTGTTTTCTGAGATCATGGGTTCTGTTTCCAAAATGTTGCTTACTTGCAAATGTACCCTGAGGCTACTTAGATAATGTCACTATGGCTTGCTCACTGCATGGGGCAGTAACTGTCTTGTGAAACAGATTTTGGAACGTTATTTCCTTCAGATAATTACATAGGTTTACACTGTTTTTATCCTGCGTAAAGAACAAGCATACAGTATTGTGCCGATGTGAGTAATTCTGTGCTCAAAGAAAAGGAAGTTGGAAATGCTGCCTCCGAACCAGAGGAAACGAAAGGCATAAGAGTAAGCAGTGCTTCAGCAACACTTCCTGTATTTTAGGATTTGGGAATTCATGATGTTTTTGTGTGATTACAATGATTCTGACGGGCGAGCCTGACACATGCTCTGTTAGCTGAGCTGATTTCACTGAGATCCCTGTGCTGCATTCAGTGTCCTCTGTCTGCCTGGTACTGAGAAGCTGAATTCACTCAAGATGTTTTCCTTTGAGGTGTATGCAGGTAACAACAGCATTTGTCTGCATTTTCCACTAAGACAGAGTGTGGGTTTGGTATAATATGTGATCAGCTGGGTTTATTTATTGATTGATTTATTTGTTCAGTTTTGTCAGATTTTCACATTTCCCAATTAAAATGGAAGTCAACATATTTAATAGTTTCAGAATAGATTGTTGATACCCAGTAGCTGTCATCAGAGTGTACAGAGTTACTCTGACATACAGACTTGGGTTGACCACATGCTGTATATTGTTTTTCCAGTTTTAAATGCTTTAAATCATTTTTTCCCTTTTAATGTTTTTATTTAGTCAAACAACACCCCAGAAAATGTACAAAGATTAAAATTCTAACTGAATAAAGAATGGAAGTTGTTGAAACTTTGCATTCAGGGAAAGTGTTGCTAGTACATACACATAGCTTAGAATTTTTCATTAGTCTAATTCCAGGATATACACAGACTGGATAAGATTCCATGTACCTTTTATACAGTCTAATACAAGTGTATACAGCGTAAGAGAGGAACTGTAAAACACAAATTGGTAATGCAGTTCAGTACCACACTACAAACAGCAGCCTTGAAAATTAGCATACAGTCATATCAACACACCAATTACACAGATTTAACAAAAACACTACATTTTATTAAAGTAGTATCTGTTGCAATGTTATTTTATTGGATTGCAAAATACTCAATTCAGTGTTCAACAGTTATTCCCAGTTTTATGTTTGGCCGGTCCTTGTCTTTATGAAACCTATACTTCCACATTTTGTTGCACCGATCAAGGTTCAACATTTTTATGTTAAAAATGGATGCACCAGTGCTACCTGCCCTGCACCAAATGGAACACAGACAAAATCAGACACTAGCTGCTCAACATCTAGCAGCTAAAGAGCCAGTTATATTTCTCAGGAGTATTTGTCAGGTGGACACAAACATGTCTACGAATAAATGCTAACAAAGCATATAGTGCAGTCATAGTCACATGTATGCCAGATGTACTGTATCACAGATGAAAAACATTTTTATATGAAAGTAGTTAATAGCAGCAGTGATAGTTAGTATATAGAAGAAAAGACTGTGATTGAATAGCAGCATACCAAACATAACAGACTGAATGTAAACATGTTGATGTGACCGTAACACAGCAATTAGCACATTAAAATTCATTCAGTAGGAGTCAGTCTTGTCAGGTGGCTTGGTTACACGTTACCAGAACTGATAAGATAATCACCTGTGATACTTTCACTTCTCCATTTTGTGCTGTGTCCCTCTCCGAGACTTTTTGAGTGGTAAGTCAGAGAGTAGGGATTGTCTTGAGTAACCACAGGCTTGTGTGTGAAATTAGCATGGATAACTGAGTGCACTTAGCAGACCATAGTGTGTATGCTCATAAGAAGAGCAGTGCTTTATGATACATTACCCTCTTTGCAGAAGCAAGACCTGAGCTGTTCTCTGGGAACAGAACCCACAGTTCAGATCGGACCATGGACCTTGGTCTAGCTGAGGACCACTTCTCAAGGCCTGTGGTGAGTAAAGCACTGCTCTTTGTCTCAACTCCCAATAACCTATAGTTAATTAGTTTGTTTTATATTGTAAAACTGAAAGTGTTTGCATACAAAGCTTCAACTTCTGTTTAGACCTGCTTTTCTTTGTTCACCTGTCTCAGGGTTCCTTTGTGGCTTCTGACATTGAACAGCTGAAACAGGCCATAGAGGAGTGTAAGAAGCTTATCTTGGAGCTGCCTGAGCATTCTGAGAGACAGAAGGACACTGTGGTCAAGCTCATCCACCTTCGTCTCAAACTGCAGGAACTTAAGGTTGGAACCAAGGAGTGAATGGAGAAGTGGAAAACATGATATTTGTAATTGTTGGTGCTGGCTCAGTTGGAGAATCAGTAAAACTTTAAGAAATTCCTAATCATCTAATTTTATTTGCATGTTTTTGAGCTTGTGGAATGTACATCTGTGTATTTATGTATTTATTAATACACCATGTTGGTAGGTAGAACTGAATTCTACACTATTGGCAGTTTATTTGGTGCATCCAGCTAGCAGTAAGGCCTTCCTTCATGAATGTGACCTCACTGATATAAATGGGGTGGACAAAATGAGACTACATTAGTCTTAGCTAGATGTACTTATTACTTTTACTGTGTTACTGGAGATATATTTGAAGTGAATGCTTCTTTCAAGAGTGTTTGGAAAACCTAGAATTAAAGGGTTAAGAATAACCTAATGGGTGCAGTAGTTACTTGTATTAGCTTGTAGTTGGCCTGTCGCTGGGAAGTGGTGCTTTTGGATGGAGATGAGTGTCAGATATAATCTGGAAGGTTGTAAGAAATCCTGCTGGGTCATTGTCATGAGGTGGGCTAACAACACATGTCAAATAAAGGCTTTTATTGTATCACTTTTGGCCTCTTGACTAATGCCACTGCAGACAGTCTTGAAGACTGAGAAGGTAATATATGAGGTTGTGGAGATCAGCAGCTTCCTGCAAAAGCTCCTCATGTTTCAAATAGCACAGTTTCTGTTGAGATTTTCTCTGAGTTAGATAATGAAAGGTATAACTTAAGTTATCTCGCTAGGATTGAAATAAGATATAAGATAAAACCTTTATTAGTCCTATGATGGGGGAATTTACACTGTTACAGCAGGAAAGGGATAGGAACAGGCTCTCAGTGTTAAGAATCCAAAAGTAGCAGACAAGGTATTAGCAATACAAACAATTGTAACTATAATAATAAAAAGTACAACATATTACAGTCTGGTATGCTGTGTATTCATAGCTGTTCAGTCTGTGGGTGTGTGAGGTTGACTTGGGGGCCAGGGTCTACTGGGAGCAATGCTGGTTGTACAGTGTGACAGCAGCAGAAACCTGTGATAACACTCCGTCATTCACTTGGAGTGAAGCAGTCTGTCACTGATGGAGCTGCCCAGTGCTGACAGAGTGTCATGCATGGGGTGGGAGTCATTCTCAAGCAAGGATGGTAGTCGGGCTAACATCTTCCTGTCACTCACCACCTGCACTGGGTGAAGGGGACTACCCATGACTGACCTGGCCCTCTTGGTCAGTTTGTCTAGTCTTTTCCTGTCCACGGTTGAGATGCTGCTTTAAATGTTAGCATGGAATGTTACTGATTTCATGTATTATTTAGGAATCGTGTTTTCTGTGCATTGATATTTCCAAAAGCCAATCTTGGCAGTTTTGAGGCAGTAGGAGTTGATTTTTAGCGCCGGCCTCTTCATGCCTAAATAGCCCCGATGCAAGTTGGACAGACATGTATTGTCAGCGAAATAGAAATTGATCTTTGATATTTCAGGAAGTAGAACAGAGATGAAAATTCTGTGTAATTTTTTCCTATTAATTTAGTATTATAGTACAAATTCTAGGCAAAATAAATATGGCTCCACCAATGGGATAATATGAAAATGTTATTTAGTCTACATGGTAGTTTGAATGCTTCACTGTACACATATTGTTACTGTGCATATTGTATATTTTACAGTAAGCCATTTTTTTACAACTGTGCATCAAAACCGTTACTTTCATGTTTATGGTAAATGAATTTTGTTTTCCACTTTTAAAGGATCCTGAGGAAGACGAGCCTAATCTGAGAATCCTATTGGAGCACAGATTTTCTAAGGAAAAGAGCAAGAGTGTGAAACAGACCTGTGATAAATGTAGCACTATTATCTGGGGCCTCATCCAGACTTGGTATACCTGCACAGGTGAGACAGACTTTACAGTGTATAATACACCATCAGTCCATTGTAGCCCTGTAGATGTTGGTTAGTACCAAAATTGCTAAAATATCCTATTGTACATGGGATAGTATGTTTTAAGGGCGCACAAACTGTTCAAAATTCAGTCCTCCATGCAAAATTGCACTTGCTCTATCTGAATATCCCACTTTGTACTCAAAACTTTATACACAGTCTGACACACTCATGTACAATCCAAAAAAAACTTTATGCACAGTCTGACACACTCATGTACAATCCCACAGTCTCTCTTCTCCTCACACTGTCTTGCTGCTATCTGAGTCAGCAAGAGAAGGGTGAGGTCATTTTAACTGACTGTCCAAAGAATCAGATTGCTAGTTAGGACTGGGATACTGAGACTTTCATTAAGTTTTTACAAATTCAGGGTCATTAAATATTTTTAGATTTTCATCAAGCTTCTATTTAATTTTCTCAAAATGTGTTTTCTGAATGGCAGACTCAGTGAGAGCACATTTGTACAGCTCCTGTCAACCAAACCTAGTGGGTATAGCAGTAATGGTGTTGCACAAACATTTTGCCATGTGACTGTCCATTACTTGTTTCAGGTTGCTATTATCGTTGCCATAGCAAGTGTATGAACCTGATCACCAAGCCTTGTGTGAGATCAAAGGTCAGCCACCAGTCAGAGTATGAGCTCAGCATCTGCCCTGAGATCGGACTAGACCGCCAAGACTACCGTTGTGCAGAATGTCGCACACCTATTTCACTGAGTGAGTTTGAATGGACTGTGATGATTTATGATTGGCAGGTTAAACAGGGAAACAGAGCATCTAAAAGCAACATAAATATACACATTTGAACTGATTGAACTTGATAGGCATATCCACACAGATGTAAATAAGATGGCTTCACAGCCACTTCACATCTAGCTTTCTTTTGTTTCATAGTTTGACTGTATTGTGTCATATGCTTCTTGTAGGGGGCGTGCCAAGTGAGGCCAGACAATGTGACTACACAGGCCAGTATTATTGCAGCACGTGCCACTGGAATGACACAGCCATCATCCCAGCTCGTGTCATCCACAACTGGGAGTTTGAACCACGCAAGGTACCCTCAACAACTACAGCAAAATACACTCAGTGTGTAAAAATATCCCTTAGTCTATTATGTCATTCTACGAGTTTTCTTTTCAGTTATACCCCTTTCAGACAGGAGATGAATGTATGTTGTGGGTTTACTAAACATTTTAAAGCAGCATTTTAGTCATTCGATAAGACTGTTGTCTTATTCTTTGTTATTCTCTGTTTATCACTGTTAAAGAGATTCAAATCTGCAGCTGTAGTCCTACATGCATTACTACTAAATGACAGAACAGAATTATGTGGGGCACCTCACCATTTTCACATTTCACATGTTGATTTATAAGTCATGAGGAGAACTACACAACCTGTGAAATCATGTCTTCTGTGACAATATACTAGCTTTATGAAGTTTAAGAAAATGACTCAGTGAAAGTCAGCGGAGCATTGTTTAAACATCCATAACTCTAAAATGCATTTCAGTGTCGAACAGAAATGCCTGTAAATGAAAGCCAATCAGCATCTGATCTGATTTTAAGTTCAACCCATGCCAGGATAAGGATTGCAAATCTAGGTCAGGTGATGACACTGACACAGTCAAGCTGTCCTCCATTTCAGGATTAAACCATGTCGCTGTCTTAGTATGAAAGGGTTATTGGTTTGTTTATATGGGCAATATTAGCCTGTCTTTGCTCTGACTATCCCATGTGTTTAACTACAGGTTTGTCGTTCCTCATTGCGCTACCTGGCCCTGATGATATCACGACCTGTGCTGAAGCTGAAAGAAATTAACCCACTGTTGTTCAATTTTGTGGAGGAGCTGGTTGAAATCAGAGTGGGTAGCTTCACTTTTTTAGAGCCACTAGAAATTGTGGAATTTGAACTGAAGATCGTGGTATATACAGCAAAATTCACAGTTCAAATTATTTTTTTTTTACAGCTGTGTTCTCAGTTTTATTCTGGAATTCCTGCTAAAATAACTGACACCTTCATTAAACCTAGCTGTTTTGTCACCCAGGCGGTCCTAGCACTTTGTCATTGTGTTGTGTCAGGTGCTATTATGATGAAAATCAAACCACTATTGTATCAAGTACTGCTGGAACATACTGTACAGTGAGAGAGGAAATCAACTGAGCATTAAATGAGATTGATATCAGTGTGTGTGGGTTTTACAGAAACTTCGTCAGGATATTCTGCAGATGAAACCCTATTTTATCACCTGCAAAGAGGCAATGGAGGCTCGCCTATTACTACAGGTTGGCATTTATTTACAATATGTATTTAGCACAAATCTAAAAAACCTGTACAGTTAATGTGGTTAAAGTGTCATCTACACTGGGTGTATATGTAACCAACAGCTAATATGTTACGACAGTAGGACCATTGGGTGGAAGTGGAGAGCTTGCACTTAATTGTGAAAAGTTGTTGAGTTTGTAGAGACACTGAATGTGATTAGTTAGAATCTACATATAAACTTGACTGTCCTTGGTTTACATCCAGTATCAGCTCAAACATTTATTAAAGTGTTTCAGATCTTGACATAGTGTGCATTAACAACAATCCCAGCTGACACTGGGCGAGAGGTGAAGGACATCCTGGACAGGTCGCCAGTCTATCACATTGCTGACACCTAGAGATAGACAACTACACACACACTTACTCCAACAGGCAATTTAAGTCATGTCTTTGGACTGTGGGAGTACCTGGGGAGAACCCACTGAAGGGAAAACATGCAAACTCCACCCAGAAAGGCACCGGGTTGACCGGGTCTCAAACCTAGAACCTTCTTGCTGTGAGGCAGCAGCGCTAACCATTGTGCCACCATGATGAAATGAAGTGTTTTTAGTTAACAGTTTTCCACTGTGTTTGCATCCTCCAGCTACAAGATCGTCAGCACTTTGTGGAGAATGATGACATGTATTCACTACAAGACTTGATTGACATCTCCAGTGGCAGACTCAGCTGTTCCCTTACAGAGATCCACACCACGTTTGCTAAACACATCAAACTAGACTGTGAGGTTAGCTCATGCATGAAATACTAGTACAGTATGTATTATTAGCTAAAGTTATAGAAATGGTGCGACCTTCTGAAACTCTGACTTTCTGCCCTGTTTTGTTTATGTGTGTAGCGTTGTCAGGCCAAAGGATTTGTGTGTGAGCTGTGTAAGGAGGGAGACATCCTGTTCCCTTTTGACAGTCACACCTCAGTCTGCAATGACTGCTCTGCTGTGTTCCACAGGTTAGTCAGTAACCAACCAGTTGCATCATCGTGAGAGTTTCAGATGTATTTATGAAGAAAAATATAGTATTTCAGTAACAGATACAAAATATTAACGCCTCAGATCTGAAAACTGTGTCCCAAAAACATTCATCTACAGCCCAATCGCCAAATATAACAAACAATTAATTATTACCCAAATAAACACCATTAATATAATGTATCATATCATAGTGTTTGTTGTGTGTGTGTTTTTAGAGATTGTTACTATGACAACTCTACAACTTGTCCACGATGTGCCCGAATGACTGAGCGCAAGCAGGATGAGGTGTCAGATGTCAAAGATGCTTAACTCTGGAGAGGACCACCCTGATGTTACTGGATGTTGCACTTTGTCTCATGTTCTACACAGTCAAAAAAGTCTGATAGGAGACAACTTTTCAGCTTTGGTTTCTTTTGTGTGTAGTGTTTTTATCTACCTGTGCACTACACTATGAAGCAGGGTACACAGAAACCCATCTGGAAATTAAAAGTCTATGTGGGTTTGTGTGATTGATTTGCAGTAGTGTGTGTCTGCTTGTATAAATGTACAAAAGAAGTGTCCTGTAGAGAAAGGTCACCTTCTCAGTAGGTGATTATGCATGCAGGACTCATATATTAATTGTTAGCTTTGACTGCATTAACCTCCACTGCTGAATTCTAAATTTTAAGGGTGTCATTTGCAAAAAAAATAAATAAAAAATTGAAGTTTCCAAAGACAAAAATCACAAAATTATATTAATCTGATAAACAAAATTCATTATTTATGCTCTAAAGTGAAAAGCTTATACTGAGCTGTAATTTCAAGCTTCACTTTATTCCTGTAAGTCCTGTAAGTGAAAATGGCACAACTAAAATGCATAGTGTTATATTACTGTACACTCTAGGCCTGCTTTGAGTTAATTGTCAATTAGTCACCCTACTGTAGGTACAGGAAAAAAAATCTGTGGCTTTAATTGTGTGATGGTCCCCTGGCTTCTTAACCTTTTCTGCTCTATTTTCCATATTGCAGCAGGTAGCAGGGTGCAGAGCCAATTAACTTGGTTAGAGGCACCTGGGCCCTGTACTTCCTGACTGTAATTCCCCACCCATACTCAGTCCACTGGAGCTTTCTTCTCCTCATGCAGCTTTTCTTTGTTTTATCTATCAAACAAAACTGGGGTACCATTTTTATCAGGACCCTGCTCTGGAGCAGGCTCAAGGCAAATAAACAGCTTATTTATTTTAATGAAATCACAATAGCTATTAACTGCTAAAAATAGTAGTGAAGGTGTGTGTGTGTGTGTGTGTGTGTGTGTGTGTGTGTGTGTGGACGGATGAGTGAAATGTGGAGTGTAGCAGATGTTGGATGAATAAACAGAACAAAAGACAGCTTGAGGGAACTGAGGTTGGATGGGGTTTTATAGTCAGGAGCCAGGGAACTCTTACATTTACACAAGACAGGTTTTGTATTTACAGTCATTAAAACCATAATTTCAAATATTAGTATATATTGGGAGCAGATATTTAATCCAAGCATGCAATAACAGTACATTTGTAAAAACATTTAAGTAAAAAAAGAATGTGCTTTCATTTTCATTGAGCTGTGTTTAATCTAGTTTAGTGCAGTGTGTAGCACATAAATGTGAATACTCCTGAATATTGTGCCTAAGATTGTTACGTTACATACAGCTGTTATCCAAACGTCTTAATACTCTTTACCATCATGTTAGTGGCTAATAGCACATTTTGTCCAGAGATGACAAAGATGTTAGGTGAAACCTTTGGTGAAAGTGTAAATGTTGAAAAGTATTTGTTTTAAAATAAGATTTTGCTGTGTTATTTTTCAGCATGATGTACTTTTTTTTGTTTTGTTTTTCTGTTTTTGTGTTGTTTTTTTCCCTCCAAACTAATGGACATACGTGGTGTTGTTGAAAGTCATGTCCTGTTGTAAAGTCACGTGGAGTAGTGCATGAATAAATGAGGTACACTATGTCTGCAGTATTGTGTTAAGTCAAGTTCAGCTTTGACCCATATATTTATTAATTGTTACACATTGAGGTTCACTGACTCGGCCTTCTTTTTTTAGTAGCTGTAACAAAATTATTTAGAATATATTGTGAGCCTTTGTATCCGAAATCTCGCGAGACGGCCAGTGATTGTTCTTAAGTACTTCATGATGGGTCAGAGAAGTCCAGTCCGGGTAGCACGGGTGAGGAGAATCCGAGTGAGGGACGGGATGGGTGTGCTCGGTCTCCTCTCTGTGGGTGTCGGACCCTTTCGAAACCAGGTGCGGACGTTTCGGACATGGAGCCGCCAGGATTTATCCATAATGTTTACCACTTTGCGCAGCAGCAATGCACTTATAATGGTACGGTTAATTTAGTTTTTCTTATAGACTGCATGCTACGCTTTTCTCAAAACTTCCCGAATGCAGAATTTTTTAAATTTTACAACAGCTATTTGGGTTACATATGCGTTGGATAACACTGTGATGCAGGAGCTGGATCCTGTCGTGGGAAAGTGTTCCTAGTGCACACAGCGGACCTCTAAAACCCTAAACAAACAAACTGCGGTGCTGTTTATTTACATTCCTCAGTTGTTTATACTCTCACGAGATGTTCGTTTGAGTTTATACTTCGATTTCCTCAATTTAATTATGTTTATTTGAAGGCGGCGTTATTATGTTATTATTAGGTTTTGAATTGGAGGTTGGATTTTTCATTTTTAATACTTAAAATGAGACAGAAATTGTGTTGAAATAGAACAAGCAAACGAGAGAAACCTAAAGTTCAACCAGTCTAGTTTTGCCTGATCATTATCAGATAAAATGCTTCACTTCAACAATGGATATTATTGTTAAAATGTAGGCTTTCTGAGATACACTATATTGTTGGTGTGACATGAGTGACATATACCTGTTTTTCTTTCTTTTAAAACTATCCCTGTACTTTCTCTCTCTGGTGGACTTTGCGTTTTTATGTTTATTTGACTTTATAAGTAATATTTGTTTTCATTTGTAGTTCATTTAGGGAAACAACACATTTGGTTTTATTTACTGTGACTGGCATAGTTGATAATAAAGTTTATTGTGTAAGAGCTGCATATTTAGATATGTAAACAAAATGTTTGGTTGTGTTGTGTGTTTATTAAACGCTTTGCTGTTATCATTGTCAAGTATTAGTAATGGTACTGGTTGTGCTCCAATGATAACTCAATCACATATTTTGCAGTTGCATTAGAAATGCCTATTTTAGTCACTTCCAAAAGTGTTTAAGAATAAATTCTTGTGTTTAATAGGCACAGGTGACAATCACATACCATAAAAGAAACCCATATGATCATTCTACCAACTGTTTAGGATAAGCAGGCTATCTGCAGCCCTGTTTTAGTGACTTAACTGTGACAGAGTCCAGAGTGAGCAGGTCATAATCAGATTTCATTAATCAAGAATGTTGTTTGGGGTTGTGTGGGAAAAAATCATGTAGCAGGACAGATTTCTTATGCAGTCATGGCCAAAAATATTGGCACCCCTGCATTTCTGTCAGATAACGCATCGTTTCTCCCAGAAAATTGTTCCAATCACAAATTTATTTGTTTGCATTGGAAGAAAACAAAAAAGAGAAAAAAGCCAAATTGGATACATTTGGCACAGAACTCAAAAAATTGACTGGACAAAATTATTGGCACCTCATCAGAAAGAGTTGTATTGCAAACATGTGACGCTCCTTACCAATATTTTTGGCCATGACTGTATTAACATGAAAGCTGGTCTGCATGACTGAGTCTTGTCAGCACTAGAAACAATAGGAATGAGACTGATCACATTTGATTTTGTTTTACAATTTCTTGTAGGAGTAATAACATCTGTTACATGTAACTTGTTGATATAATGCCTCTGCTGTATATTTCTTTTCCAGGGGTCTTGTTACAGCCCTGCTTTCACTGCTAATATTGATCATACAGTATCTTTATTTCAGAAGCTGTCACTGATGCAAAGGAGATGTGGAGGATTATATCAGCACAGTTTCCCACTCGCTCGATTGCTTAGCGCAAACAAGCCACCAAGAGGTAAAGAAATGTGCCTCCTAATTCTATTTGACTGTATAATCTATAATGAGTGCACACACTAAGGTCAGTGGGAGGCATCTGCACTTCATTCTTTTGTTCCATACATTTGTTGTTAGGCTTTGAAAAGTTTTACCCAAAGAATAAAGAAAGCACTGGTGTCAACAAGTCAGTTGAAAGTGAGTAAAGTCATTATTAGAAGTACCATTTTACATTCTCTGTTCTCAGGCATGCTGCAGTGTGTGATTTGTTGTCTGCTACTATTTAGATGAAACCACCAGAGAGCAAGATCCTCTTGGAAGGGAAGGGAGGGACACACATGATGACAGGAACCAAAGGCAAACAGGAGGAAAAAAGAAATCACGCTGGTGGACACGCTTTCAGGTTTGAATCCTGGTCAGAATTTCTTGGGCAGTCATCTTTTTAGGTTGTTGATACATTTTACTGAAATGCACTACACAAACAGTAATAATGTGAGATATACTGTATATTAAAATGCTGGCATCTCCAATTTTTTTTAGTAAAAGCTAAGCATGATTTGACCAATTTTACTAATTACTGAAAATTAAAAGTTTGATTCTCCATAATTTGGTATCCTTTTGTCATATAAATAACCATTCGGGTTTGTAATTTTCTTATAAGATGTTAATAGTTCTTGATGATAGCATTAGTTCTCTTTGCACTGTTAAATGCCCCATTCACTATGTACCCTAGTCATATCTTTTAGTAGCAAAATTTGATGGATTCTAATAAAAATGTTTGTTTGTATTAGGTAGTCACACTGCTGTTATAAGGGTACTCATGCCTGAGAGGCATCATGTTGCAGCCAGTGAGAAGAGTGGCTTGTTATTCACTGGCATGATGCCACACTCTCTCATATAATCAACTAATCACGCCATTGACTCGCTCTTATGATATTTCTTTATCTAACAGCAGGATTTTCCCTTGGATCAAAAAGCAATTCAGAATCTTGCTGCCGGTGCAGCAGGTATGGCCTCAGCTTTTTTATACTTTTATTTCCGAGGGACAGGGGTCCAGGTCTCTTGGAAGGACTTTGTGAATCACTACTTGAGAAGAGGCTTGGTAAGAAGAAGGAGTGTTTTAAAAATGATACCTTTCTTTGTGTGGTCTTATCTCCAGATCTGTGTTTGATGGGTTCTTGTGCTGCCTACACAGGTGGGTCACCTGGAGGTTGTCAACAAACAATATGTTAAAGTATTTCCTGCCCACGGAGTGAACATCTCAGATGTGGTTAGTTGCATGAAAATGTTGTCATATTGTCCATTTGCTTTTCTTATTGGGAACATTGTCCCAAACGTGTGGGCTACATATTGTAAAGATACCAAGTTGTAATCATGAGTAAAATCATAGATTTATGGCTTCCCTCAAAATATGTAGCTCTGGACCCTGGTAGACAGTTGGAGTACTGAATGAAATATCCTACTATATATTTTTACATTGATTCTGTACTGTATGTTTCAGAGCTATTTGTGGTTCAACATTGGCAGTGTTGACTCATTTGAACATAACCTGGAGATGGCCGAGCAGGAACTGGGCCTCAGCTCCACACATAAAGTACCTGTATTTTACAGAAGTGAATGTGGCGGGTAAGAAACTAGAACCTTTGTATTAATATAACTTAGCTTTATTGCATATTGGATTTCTTTTTGTGGATCCTGGCCTGATTGAGGTTTTCTTTCTTTCTCCATAGGACCTTCCTTTTTAGTGCTCTCCCTGCCTTACTTCTAGTCAGCTTTTTGTTGTTTGCCTTCCATCAGGGACCATTGGCAGGTAGATGTGGAGGTAGGGGCCAAGCAAACCCCTTTAGCATGAGTAAGTCCAAAGCCAAAATAATTAAAGACAACATCAGTCTGCGTTTCAAGGATGTTGCGGGCTGTGAGGAAGCCAAACTGGAAATCTTGGAGTTTATCAACTTTCTGAAGAACCCACGTCAATACCAAGACCTCGGAGCTAGGATCCCAAAGGTGTGTCATATATTCATTATGGATACATCATTATCAAGCCCCACATACATTTTATGGTCATTTTGTGCTATACTGCATTAAAATTCTAATTTCACATACTGTGACATTTCTCAGGGTGCAGTGTTATCAGGGCCACCTGGAACTGGGAAGACCTTGCTAGCTAAAGCCACTGCAGGAGAGGCAAATGTCCCCTTCATCACCGTCAACGGCTCAGAGTTCCAGGACATGTTTGTTGGTGTGGGACCTGCAAGGGTCGGTACTAGACTGAAGCAGGACTCACATACACTATCCCACATGTAGTTCACTCTCCTGTTTGGCCACATCATCTGTAAACACCATATTTTGATTGCTTGAAGCTTAAAGTTCAACCATCATTTTCCTTCCTCTCTGTTTCAGTATCAACACCATTACGTTAACTACTAGACTAAGAAATTCTGATTTATAAATCTGAAGATTTGTCAGCAGGTTTTTTTTTTTGCCCTGTCCTATCTTAGGTAAGGGATATGTTTGCTATGGCTCGAAAAAATGCCCCCTGCATCTTATTCATTGATGAGATCGATGCAGTGGGCAGGAAGAGAGGCACAGGGAGCTTTGGTGACCAGAGCGAGCAGGAAAACACCCTCAACCAGCTGCTTGTGGAGATGGATGGTACTGTAGGTGGTAACGTTACCTCTGTCACTGTTTACATCCTCCTCCCATTCCTGGTGTAAAGTTTTTCTTTGCAGGGTTCAACAATAACACTGATGTGGTTGTTTTGGCTGGCACCAATCGTGCTGATATCCTGGATCCAGCTCTGATAAGGCCTGGGCGCTTTGATCGACATATATACATAGGTAAACTGTTGCTGTCTGTTGCTGTTTGAGGTGCCAGTTTATACCACTTTTTTGCTCACTGGTTCTCAGTAATGACGTATCACTTGTGTATACTTAGATTGTATATGAATCATTTAATTTTATCCAATATGTTTTCAGCATATTCTATAAATCTATTAATAATAAATACCAGCCATTTCCATTGTTAGTCTCCCTGCCTAGATATATTTGCCCTCTTGATCTTTCAAGAATACTTACAGTATGTCTTTGACTTGCATCTTGCCAGTGTGGTGATCCCAAACAACTAAGCTGACATGTCCCTATCTACCCTTTCTTTGAATCAGGTTTTGTTTCTTTGGACTTCTCAGTTTCCTTGACTTAGAAGCAAACCTTCTCCTCTGATGTTTCACAGTTCTGCATTGATACTGTGTTACTGTCCTATCTCAGCAGTTGTCTACTGCACACCAGGCACTGTACAGACAATGCATTTCAGTGGCATTAATGTGGTTGCTGAACCTTATTTAGCATTTTTTTTTACCAGCTTCAGATCAGGTGCTAAGTTTGACCTTATAGTTCATATGTGATTACATGACCTCTTTGTGTGTGGTGTCCATAAAATTTAGCTTCAAGCTAATTAGATTTGCTTTTATCTTGTGAGTGTGTGTTGCATAATGTGTGCTTTTATCTTGTGTGTAATGTGGATAAATTGCTCTTTTTCTGGCTGCTAAAATCTAATTTACTTTATGCCAGCAGTGCTGGACAGTGGTGGAGAGGGAGGTGTTTTCTATGACAAAGAAAACAGTGTCAAAATGAGATAGAGCTGATTTTCTATAGTAGAAGGACTAGATAACTGGAGGCCAGTATGAACAATGGAACGCCACTCTTCTTTGTTGTTGACTTTCTTTGTTCCCTTACCCTTTTTGTTGTTATATATGAAAAAATGTTACTTAATAGTTGCTTAACATACAGTTATTAATTAATGTTTGATCACTAATTAGTTTCATAACTTGTTACATCACGATGGTGGATCACCATCATGATTTAAATTTACACAGATGAGCAAAAGGGTATTTTTAGCTAACTTTTTTCGGGACCAGTTGAATGATCTTCTGTAAGACCTGAAAATGTGACGTTGTCATGAGGTTCACAAGGAACCTTAGGCAGATCATATACAGTATTTCAAACACCTTGACAAAGTCGGCTGCTGCTATGTCTCTTACACCTGTGTTTCCTTGCTTTTCAGTTTCAAAAAGAATGATGTTTCATCTGCATTAGTAACATTAACATGTGATGACTGTTTTTTCTCTTTTACAGGCCCACCAGACATAAAAGGCAGGTCTTCCATCTTTAAGGTGCATTTAAGACCTCTGAAGTTGGACTCTAGCATAGAAGTAGAGGCTTTTGCCAGAAAGTTAGCTGCACTAACCCCAGGTTTTACTGGTAAGACCAAGAGATGTGTGTTCATGTTTCTATGTGCACACAACTCAGTCTTTGTCTTGTCTTCTAGATTTTTAAAAAATCACATCACAGTCCAACCTGATTGAGGTGTCCTGTTGTGTGTCTCAGGGGCTGACATTGCTAATGTGTGTAATGAGGCTGCACTAATAGCTGCACGTCACCTCGACCGACATATCAGAGCTAAGCACTGTGAGCAGGCAGTGGAGAGAACTATTGGAGGTACGTTGACCATATTTATGCACTTTTGCTATACATTTCTTTAATATGAAGTTCATTTATATACTGTTTATATTGATTGCTATTTTACATTGGTGCTTAAATGTGGACTTGGTGTTTTAATTTGAGATATTCATACAGGCTGTTAATGTAGTGTATTAATATGCATTCAGTTGTCAGCTTTCTAAGTGCACCAAGCTAAAGCTAATGCAGTCGAATACAGCTGTCATGCAATAAATCTTCCCTTCATGAAGGTCATAATGTTCAGTTTTTGTGGAAGTTGTTTCCAAAAGGTGTTGATTGACGTACAGTATATGATTATATAATGAAGTGCTGTTGAATTGTATAGTGACAGGCGTTTCTGTGCTTATATACTTGAAGAACACATCAACCTGACAACTTACTGCTTGTACAAAACACGCATTGTAGTTGGATAAGACACTTTCCTTGCTGTCAGGTGTAGAGAAAAGGACCCTGGTACTGCAGCTTCCAGAGAAGACTACTGTGGCATATCATGAGGCCGGACATGCTGTTGCCGGCTGGTTTCTAGAGCATGCAGACCCCCTACTTAGGGTACTCCAGCCATTTCCTACTCTGCTGTGCAACTATCTGAATTCTTCTACGGCTGTTGCATAATTATTTTTCTTCTTTTACCTTCTATAGTCATAAAAGAATTTCACCTAATGATTCTGCTGATAATTAGATTGCCTGTAATGCACTCCCTCAGGTGTCAATTGTTCCCAGAGGGAAAGGTTTGGCCTATGCGCAGTATCTGCCTAATGAACAGTACCTGTTCACCCAGGAGCAACTTTTTGACAGAATGTGCATGATGCTGGGGGGTCGAGTGGCTGAACAGATTTTCTTTCATCAAATCACTACTGAGGCACACGATGACCTCAGGAAAGTCACACAGTCTGCCTATGCACAGGTAATCACCACATTTTACAGTAAGCATGCCCATGGATGCACAAATCTCTAAACTATGTGATTCTGGGTTCAAAGAAATGCCCTGCATTTACAGATGAAGTATTTTTAAGTCAATACTGAATCTCACTTATAGGCTGAAAGAGAAGTTGTATAATAATGAAGTAATTACATGTATTAAGACCTATGAAATAAAGAACTACAGTTTGAGGTAATAGTGATTGCATTGAGAACATTACTTGGCTTATCAGCCTGATCTTCTAAGAATGACAGCAATGATATACACAACAAATATGTGAGCTAGTGTTGGTGTACACTATTTCGGAACCTAAACAACAAGTAGCACCTTGCAAAAAACTGTCCGTTTACCAACATGAAGTTTGAACTTTAGCTCTGACTATTTCTGTAGGTGCTCACTTAAAGGTCTAAACACATTTAGAAGGTTAAAAAATAATGTACTGTTTTGACCAGGAAATGTATGTTGGTCAGTTTGAAGTGAAGGAGTGCTCTTTGGAATTCTACTTATAGAGACCAATTATAAATGAAAAAATGTACAATTTTTTAAAGATTGAATGTTCAGTTCCCTCTTACAGAGCTCATTCCTCTTCATATTTTAGGTTGTGCAGTTTGGAATGAATGAGGCAGTAGGTTCAGTTTCCTTTGACCTCCATAAGCAGGGTGACATAGTAATTGAGAAGCCCTACAGTGAACCCACGGCCCAGCTTATAGACCATGAGGTCCGCTTGCTCATAGATGCTGCCTTCCAGCGAACACTTCAGCTCGTCACTGATAAGAAGGAGCTAGTGGAGAAGGTGAGATCTATTTTCACAGTAAGTATTGTTGGAGAGAGGTGAAGATGAAAAGCTGCTGTTGAGCTCCCTGGACAGTATGATCCTTTGTGGTTTGAGAGGAAGGTGGGCAACCTCAACAGCTAGTTGTTGTAATATAATGATCATTATTAAAAATACTACTATCAGTTGTAACTATTACTGTTATTGCTGCAGCACAGTATTTTTTATGTTTTGAGTACAAATGGAGACCTTTTACATAAGTTTGGTTTCAGTAACACCACATTCACTTTTATCAATGATGGAATTAACCTTAATTAATTTTGTTTGATTATTTTTGGTCACGTGTTGCAGGTGGCAAAACGTCTCCTAGAAAAGGAGATTCTAGACAAGGCTGACATGATGGAGCTGCTAGGATCTCGTCCATTTCAGAAGAAGTCATCATATGAAGACTTTGTGGAAGGGCTGGGGGAATTTGAAGAGGACACCTCGTTACCTAAAGGCCTGCAGCACTGGAAAATGAACAAGGGGGATGAAAAACAGAAGCAGAATCAACAAAACAAATATACCTGTAGGTGGAGCTGCAGCCACAGGGCAAATATTCCACTGGACTCTGGTGAATATCCCACCACCTGGTGGGTCGTCCCCTAACCGTAGGGTTGGAGGTTTGATCCCTGGCTTCTTCAGTCCATAATACTAAGTGTCTTTGGGCAAGACACTGAGCCCTAAGTTGCTCTGGGTGAGCAAGTTGGTGAGCATGTGTGTGAATATGTGAATGGGTAAAATAGTGTAAGACACACTGTTTGTGTGGCACTGTAGGAAACAGCTACTGTATATAAGATCATTTACTGTAGTTTGTCTCCATAGAACAAGTGAGTAAGAGCTTATTTGTGAGGTGCTCTTAATTTCCTGAAATCATCAACAAATTGTTATTAAGGAAATAACCATGTTACTTGGCAATTTGATGCATAAAAATCATTTATAGAAAGGCGGAGTGTACACTTTGATAGAAGTGTACCGGACACAGTATGGTGCGGGTCAACAGTTTTAATATCATATGCCAAATCATTATGGCCTGTTACAAAAAAAGTCAGTCCCCACCTCCAACTTCTGAGTCTGAATGCAGTCAGTGCTCGAGTCTGAGTCGAGTCTTGAGTCCTGAAAATCTGGACTCGTTGGGCTCGAGTCCCAGTCCTGGACTCAAGCACTACAACACTGGACAGAACTGTATATTTTAACTAAATACTTAAATCACATGTGATAACAGGTTTATTGAGTGTGCTATATAAACAGAATGTGACTCCACTGATAAAACACACAACAACATACTTTTCAGGACTTTTATTTATTCTGCACCATCCCAGTATCACCTTAATTCATTGTGTCACAGCAGTCAGAATTATTGGCACTCCAGGTATAGATATGTTTAACATGAGATAAATAAATCAAGTATTCAGCTACAACATTTACTTTGAAAGATGAGAAAGATTCCATCTTTTGAAATATGATTACAAAAGTGTTGGCACTTTGTTGAAATTTTGGCAATTCCACCTGACTGTGGCATAGATCTGCTGTATCTTCACTTGTAACTGATTCAAGTATTACCCATCCAGTGAATGCATGTCTTTTAATGGAATTTGACCTCCAACTTTGGATTACCAACTTTATTTAGCTTAGCAGCAGCGACTGTGGCAGGTATAATTTTCAAAACGATAAAGAAAAAAATCCAAACAAATTCTGAACAGAAGTATTAAATGTGTACTGCACATAGCTGCTACTTGGTCTCTTTATCTTTTGAATCATCTGCACCAAATGCCAATAATTCTGGAGGGCATTGTAAATACAATTCAGTGAGAGAAGTGCAATATTTTTATTTGGGCATTTAAAATCACAACACACATTCTTCACTGAAATGGAGAATGTCTTATGGATAGATTGTGGCCTCACTAAAACCCACTTCCACTGCTCAAGTTACCTTATTTGCAGCCAACAGACCTTATTTTCAGGCAAAATATGAAGAAACAGTTTGGGTGTGATCTTTTGATCAAATAAATTTGATTTATGTTTTAACATGTCCTGATAATTCAATGTAAATTACCAGGACAGTGTCTGAACCTCATATGGAAGATCTGGCGTCTAATTATGGACGCAATTTTTCCTGCCAGTCTTACCGTCCAGGCTACCTTTCACCCTGAGAGGCAGTAAGGGTGGAGGTGCTGTTATTCTGTTCGCCTTATACCCTGTCTGTCATTCAGAAACAAAGCTTAAAATCGTCTGGCAGCCTAGAGTGCATTAAAAACCTCTTGCATGAAAAAGAATGATTGTGTTTGTGTACATGAGAGAGTTAGAGAGAGAGAGAAATTGAGCAGAGGGAGAGAGGAGAAAGTGTGTATTGTACTTCTCAATATCTTTAGTTAGAGTACAGAGCACAGTGACCAGCGTTCAACCTGGACTCATCTGTTCAGCACCATGAAACATTTCATGAGTGCATGGTGGCAGATGGCAGCCTCTTGGTCCTCTTTATTCCCACCCACTCTGGCTGTGTCTGTCTGGCTCTGGGGTTTCTCACTGCAGTCAGGCTGTTCTACGTCAGATTTCACGGCTGCTTCGGTCTTTCCAGTTTCATTAAGGGCTCTGCAGTGTCTGAGTCGCTGTGGTGTTTTCTTTCTCGCTGCGGCTCGACTTTACTGCAGCGGGTCCATGAGGGGGAGCGCATGTACCCACCCCTGGGCGGCACAGCCTGGTGGGGACCTGAGAACCAGACAAACAATGACTTGTTACTAACACATAAATGCACTGTTTTTTTTATGTCAAATGGAAAGAGAGACAAGAAAATCACTGTGCACACACCTGTCACGTTTCACACAGCTTGAGCTTGACGATACAGCTGAGTTAATGTTAATTGCTGTCAGTACACATAACTCTACACCTGCTAAAAGCAAACTTACAAACTCTCCTGAGCTCAGCTGTCAAAATGCAACAGAGACAATGCAAGATGCAGTTGCTGATTGCTTTTCTCCTGGCCTTTAAAAGTCTTTAGTCTCTGTAGCATACCTGCACACACATGCTGACTGTACCAGCCATTTCTAGAAAGGTCAGAGGTTGTTGTTAATTTATGATTATACCAAGATTTTTTTTCCCCAGTTTTGTGACTATTACTACTTCAAACCACTGGGTGGTGATCTCCAACCTACCAGGAAAACAACAAGGTAACAGAAGGAGTAACTGTTAGGGAGCTGACAACTCACTCTGCCTTTCACTGCCTATTATCAGTCTAATGTTAGGTCCCCTAAGTGAACGTCATACTCCCTACCTAGCTTATAAATATCTCTTCAAAGCCACATCCATATCATTGCACACATTAGAGACTGAGAAACAAAGGGGGAGGGAGTAAAGACATTGATCTTAGAAGATTGATAGTGTCTCCACAGCATTTTAATGAGAAGGGCAAAACTCTGAGCAGCAGGATGGAGTCTGCTGCAGTGAGCGTCACAAACACCTTTTGGTGAATGCTTCTTGTGTTTATGTAATTACATAAATGGGTGTCTTCTAGGTTTGCATATTGTATATAAATGCATGTCTGTGTAAAGCACATCCACTATCTTTTTTCATTCTTTATGTGCATTGTTCACATGCTGATCTGTTTCTGCCCTGATATCTAATTAAAAGACAGATGACATGAATTCAGAAAAAAAAACAACCTTAAGAGGAATTTTTGCAGAACCAAGAAGTAAAGCATACAGTAACCTCCCCATAATCACATTATCCCTTCTCTTGTTTTTGTCTTGCACTCTTGCTGTCACATAAACGGAATACCCTAAGCTTTGGGCTACTGTGCAGTATCCCTCCTGTGTTCTTGGCTAACAGCCATTAGTCTTCAGTCAGTATGTTGCTGTATAACTTAATGTGTCTGAAACATTAGGCTCTTCTACAAAGAACCTGTGAAAGCACAAAAAAGCAAGTGTTGTAAAACACCAAATTTAGGTTTATATGTACACATGTACGTGTACACACGCAGTTTATAACAATGCCCTTCTCTTTCAACCCATTTGAAAGAAACAACACATTTTATTTATGCATGCTAATCCCAGCACAGCCCAATTGGTGTTTGTGATGTAAGGCATGAATCTTTCAAAGATAATAATGTATAATGTCAATAAAAAGCCTAGACACACCCAAAAAAAGTGTTTGATCTTAGATGGAATCGAACCTTTTACATTCAATTACATTTTAGTGTCTGTAAAATGTGGCGTTTTCATCCACTGAATGACACAAGACAGAAACTGCACTGCTTTATTATGGGCTAAAATGTTATTTCCAACATTTCACTTCTGGCTACATCCCAAGCAGTGACATCCCTGCAGTCAGGTGTAGAAGCACCTGCTTTGAGACCAGCGATTAGGGCGTGGCCCGTTGTATTTTTGCCTGCGTTTATCTAATATCATAGTTTTTGTTATGACTTAGGGTTGCACTTTTTTGTTCTTTGTGCTTCCCGGGCAACACCAAGCTTGATGTCTCAGAACTGTCTGTTGATTGCCATGAAACAATATCATCACATGATTGAATCAGAGTGATACAAATATGATGTGGTGTAAACTCTGAATGTACAATGAATTTAATTTGGTTTCCTTTTTTCTTTTTTCTCCAAACGTCATTGTGCTTCCTATTTTTGTTTCCCATTTTCTACTAAAGGAATCCCCGGCTACCTCTATTACACAAATATCTGCTCAAAACACAAAAAATACCTCCAGAGAGAAACACAATAAGTTATAATCTGCATTGCAGTTAAAGAATAAGGCCTGTCATTTTCTGTGTTAACAGTATTTTCAACTGTCCCCATACTGAGACTAAAACCAACAATGATTTGCCTTTACTCAGCATTACATAAAAACGTTGCCCCAAAGGCTATAGCTAAAATAAAATAAATAGACTCAGTGCAAAAATAAAACTATAACTCAGACACACAGATGAGGGGCTGCAACAGTAAATCACGGTCACCCCAATGCTTATATCTGGCCATAGGAACCTCTAAAAGAAACTGGCTTAAAGATCTGACAGAACCTTGTAGGTTTGTGCCAATGCACTAATTCAGTGAGATAAGATGGTGCAAAACCATTAAGAGGCTTAAAAACAAAAATCAACAGTTTAAAATCAATTCTAAAATGGACTGGAAGCTAGTGGAGAGAAGCCAGAACCAGGGTTATATGCTCAAATTTTCTAGTACTTGTCAGAAGATGAGCAGCAGCGTTTTGAACCATCTGAAGATGAGAGAGGGAGGACTGGTGAACATCATAGTATAGAGCATCGCAATAGTCAAGGCGGGAGGTGATAAAAGCATGGATTGCAATCTCCAAATCATTAAAAGAAAGGAATGACTTGACTTTACTTAACAACTTGAGGTGGAAGAAGCTAGATTTCACAGCTGAGTTGATTTGCTTTTCAAATCTTAAGTCAAACTTCACCCCTAGGTTTTTTTACAGTCGACTTCGACACCTGAAGTCGACTGTAAAAATCCTAGGGGTGATGTTAGGGTGTTGTGTTTTGTAATGAGGAAGGATGTTACTAAGTGTAGCAGTGTGTTTCCCTGATTGGTTTTTAAACTTCACTGAGGTCTATATGACACAGAAGAACGAGCTAATCCAGGACTGACACTGACAGACATTATTTCTGAGTAGAGGCAAAACATTGTCAGCTTTGTGGCATGTTGAAAATACTGTTACTATAGAAAATGACTGACATTATCCTTTAAAGTCATATTACCACTCCATTATAATCTGAATTAGGCTTTAAGATGCCAGTACCTGAAGATGAAAGCAAGGAATATGGAAGGACAAAGGGAAAACGATAAAGGACAGCAGAGTAAACAAATAAAGAAGACACACATTTATAAATAATGTGCTGGTGTTGTAACTCAGAATATGATAATGGTTTAAATGTCATGTGAATGCTCATGTTTCTAGCAGGGAAAAGTGAATTATTAAACATACATTTAGCATGAGCTCAATGACTTCTCCCCTCTGCCCTCCTCTCCTTTCTGTATTTCCTCTAGCATCTCCCTTGACTCCTACATGCCCTCCAATCACTGGCACACACTCAGCAATTTCCCACAGCTTAATACTACTTGACCCACATTTGCAATGCAAACTATGACACAAATTAATTCAAGTAACATCTTCCCCCCCCCCACCCACCCCTACTTGATGATGTACTGGGCAAATTAACCAACTTACTGTCACAATTAAGTTTATGAGCAGGATTGTTTAAAACCTAACAAAACCCTTCTTGTGTGACGTTACATGGTCAAATAATGACTTTTTTTTTTTATGGAATCCAGATGAAATTGAACAGCTGGTCCTCACAGCTGATATTTGTGCAGTGAGTTGCTGTTTGGATAAATCCTTTCTCTCTCACACACACACCACTGTCAGTCTGCCAGCTACAACAAGTTTATCCAGAATGACTAACAGTACCACAACTCCATGCACTTACTTGCACACTCAGTCCATGGTAATCAAAACACTGACACCAGCAGTCTAAAGGTAGCATTCACTAATTCCCATCTGTCAAATTGACACCATGTACAGTATGTGTTGACACTATGCACTGTAAGTAGAACTGTTATTTTATTAGCTGATGATATTTTTGACAGACTCATTGTTTGTGCATCAGTTGTTCTTCCTCTGTGGGCTCATTGGAAAACAGCCTATGCTCACTTGGAACAGCAATCTGCTGCACTACAGGTGCATATGACACTTTTTTCTAATTTGAATTGAAGAAGTTTGTTAAAACACAAAAAAATTATCTAGGAACAGAGGACGGTGATGGTAAAGTTGATGAAAGAGAAAGATAAGGCACACATATTGCAAGAAGCAAAGAAGCTTAAAGGATCTACAGTAATATTTATATAAATGAAGATTACACAGAGTTTGTGAGGAAGAGAAGAAGGGAGTTGATGCCGAAGTTAAGGGAGGCCAGGGCGAGGGGAGACATTGCGTTCCTGCGGTATGATCATCTAGTGACCAGACCTCGGAACCAGGAGCCAGGACCCATGACCAGCACGCCGAGGATGCCAAGACAAGGAGAGTATGAAGGGGTCGCTGGACCCTCAGATGTATGAAGAAACAGGCAGGTATATTGATATCTGCGATAGCAGATGAGCATTGGAACCAACAACAACAACAAGCATGACCCATGTACGGAATGAGGCAAGTGATTTGTTGCAGAAGTTAATAGATTTTGAGGGACTGGATCTGGAACTGAACACAATTGGAACTACTGAAATTCATTATCATAAACTGGACGAAGATTTTGACCTTTAAAAAAAACTTTTTTAAGAACTCTGAAAATAACTGCAAGTATTACACGGATGAGCAGTTTAACAGCAATGTCAAGACTGAAAACAAATTATCACTAATTCACTTTAATAGCAGAAGTTTATACACAAACTTTCAGAGTAAAAAACCATTATCTTAGTAGTCTAAAACATTCTTTTAATATAATTGCTATTTCTGAAAC